GCGCGAACGAAACGCGCCCAAATGGTTTTACCGTCGTCGTAAATAGCAACAGTTGGGAAATTAACATCTGCAGGCCCGATGTAAATCCGCCCCAACCAACCCCCTCCCCCCCACCCCCCTGTTATATCTCGATCTTAACACAGGAACTACCAACAGTTATGACGAAACTATTTCTACCAAAAGCAGTGAAAATGACACGAGACTTTTTTTTTTCATTGTCAAAATGAGTCGATGACATTTTGAGGACATCATCAAAGACCCGAATTACCTCGAAATTGTGGCGTATGACGCTAGGTGGCGACGGCACTGACGATAATCGACCGATCCCATCAGTCAGCTGACCAATGCGCACTCACAGTAGTTCAACCCGTCGCGACAAATACATACGTATACCTATTAGAGACATATTTTTAACAATTAATAACTCGGAAACGAAGCCTCGAACGCAATTTCGTCATTCTTGATTTTCGTCTTACAATTAGTTCGACATATAGAATCCGTGGGTGTCGAATAAATTCTATTCGAATAGGGTAAATGTATGATAGATTCTAAAATCGTTTGTTCTGAGAGGATACAGTTACCTTTTGTTGTGTCGAAAAGTCGGGTTATGGTGGACCGAAGCTTTTTATAGTATCAAAAGGAATAAGACATTGGGGTGGCCAGAGGGTCTACGGTTCCGGAAACGGGGAAATTTAAAGATTCTTAAATTTCACTCGCCACGAGCACGACAAAGAATCGCATCCGTATTATTTTGCTAACACGCAGTCATCGTGCGGTTATTTCGTATCAACGGAGCACGAATCTTTCCCACCGGAAGCGAGTCTTGGCGTAATGAGATATCCATAGCGGAGACCCGTTTCTCGGTACCACGAAGTTCAGTCTTCGAAGTAAAGGCAAAGGAAATTGATAAAATGTTATGTATTTATACATTGTATCGCATCTTTCCACGAATATACCATATTTCTGTTCATTTCTAGTTCGTTCCATTTCAACGGGTCTCTAATTAAGACAATTATTATTATGTTCCTAAGTCACGGCAAATTGATAGGTCCACGTAGTAGAATTCTATCTTGATCAACACAGTCAAACAATAAGTTCTCAGACATTTTTACAATTCTCTTTTCCGTTTCGCGACTATACATTTCCTATCGTTATAAAATATTCACCGAGCACTTAACCAGTTTTGTCCTTCAAACTTCGAAGTTCTCGACTTCAGGCAAAACCAGACTGATGAAAAATAGTTGCCGGCGTAAAAGTTGCATGACCGCCGCTACTTCTCTATTCTTCACATTCGCCTTTACACATTTTTTTTTTCTAAATCAATGCTATCGTACGTGTGTTTTATTCATTCATTCAGAGTTGCAAACGTATTCTTGCTATTATTACCACTTAACTGCCTTCGTACACGAAATATTTAGCTACAAATACTAACGTTTACTTCATCGCTTTATTATATTCCTCTGCGGTCCTCTGGCTTGACCCACCGTCTATACTTTCCCCACAGCTCGCTCGAACGGTAGGTATGCGATATCCCGTATATATAAATAAATAAATAAATTACGGACGCCGCGTTAAAATCTCACGGGAGCATTGTTTATCGCCGTAGAATCGCGACGTTGGAAAAAAAATTTCCATTCCGTTCCAATTCCCGGTATTTCCGTTTCGCGCGCCCGAGCCGCCGCCAGCTCGAACCGACACGATCGGCGAGGTGACCGGCTGAAGCCCCCCGTTCGCGAGTTAATACACACCCAAGGATCGTCGCGATCTGTTGGCGAAAACAAATGCAAATTCATTGTCCGGTCGTGCGGCGTGCCCGGCGCGTCGTTATTACGGCAATTAATTAAAATTCCTGTCATTATTCGCCGTCCTCCCGGGCAGCCCTGAAACCATGCGTGGAACCGCGCGGTCGGTCGCGCCGGCCGGTCATTTTGCATGCACCCTCAAAAAGGCCTTCTGTCGTACTACTGATGACATACTATTGCGATTGGAAATTACCGTGCACGCACGTCACCTGATCTAACCGAATGCTTTAAAACAACCGAACACACACACGTGAAAGAACTGGACGGAGGCGAATCATCGTCGGCCTATCGTAACGCCAACTACTTAAATTGTTTTCAAATGATGCGATTCCAGCGGTTCATTCGGATTATTTCTGGTGGAATTCTTCTAGTTTTCAAGCGGTTTCGTTAAATTTTTCATTGAAATAATCAAACATACATAAAATCCATAATTTAATGGATAATTTAAACATCCATGGTCTATTAATGGTTACCAAATAGCAAATGGTTACCAAATACCAATTAGCAAATAACTTCCGTTTTCAATCACCACCAAATTTAAAACAGTTCCCTTACTATTAATGAACATTTGAATATTTCCCGCGAATATTACAACAAACACGATTGCCGAAAATCCAGTGCAGCAGAAAATCTTACCAAAACGTTCTTTTCATTTCGAATTCGTCACAGCTTCGGTAGAATAGCCAAATCCCTATTTCGTACCAAATCCCCGAAGTTGCACTCCAAAAAAATCAATATTCCCACAAACAACCCCTCCGGTCTCCTTACTCAACGCAACGAAACGGAACAGTCGGACCCAAACAAAAGTAGCGAAAAAGCCGTGTTTCCCGCCACAATTCAAAAAACATTGAAAAACCACCGAGTGAAGACACAATCGAGCGGGAAAAAGCCTCGTGTGCCACGGATTCCACAAAAGTCTCGTGGCTGCGTTGCGTTATGTAACGTAAACTACGTGGTGTAACGGAGGGGGTGGGGTCTCGCGGTGTGGGATTTTACATTGGCCGTTTCTGTGCCACGCACCACCCCTCCCTCCAGCCCCTAACCCGCCCCCCCACAGTAGTTTCGTCGCTTGGGGACAAAAAAAATCGATAGGTTCTCTCTCCCCCAACCCCTACCGGCCACCACACCAACCCCTCGATCCCTCACCAACCAGCAGCCCATCCACCGTTCCGTGTCTCTATCCCCGGTCTGACTCTGTGTGCGCTCTACCATGCGGAGTTCTCGTTCTCCGGGCTGTTCCTGGCGTGCAGTACGCGGGCAAAAAGGTGTACAAGCGAGTAACAAAGCCTCCTGGATTCTTCTGTTTTTTTTTTTTACGTTTGTGCACATTTCCACCCCTTGTGTGCTGCTCCGCTCCGTAGTGGGCCAGCCCACGAATCCGTTAGCGACCAAACACGCATCGATGATCTTTCGATCGCTCCCGGTGTCCGTTTTTACACCATGGGGTGTGAGGGAGTATGTAAAAATAAATTCGCAAATGAAACGTGAATTTCCGAGTCCTTTGCCGATAACGAACCAGCCAGAGTCGAATTCACCGCGAGCAAGAACGATCCAAAACGGAACAGTTACAGGGATTACAGAATCAAATGCTCCCTTTGATCCTGAATCGATGCTCCTCCTCCGCTCGAAAGACGCGCCCCTGAAATTTCGACGGGTCCAGGATGCTCGATTGGGCTAATGGACGGTATCCCTTAAACTGTTCCTTGCTCTTTGCCAGGCAACTTCGCCCATTTGCCGAATGTTTGTTCCCTGTGATTTCGAGCCGGTCGATTGCTTCGGAACGAATCCCTGTTTCTAATCCGAGACGGATGGTCGGGATCGAACTGGACTGTTGGATTCAGTGGGACGGTTGAATCTCGTGTTTGTACGATCGTTTGAACTTCGGTGGATCGAGGAATTGGGGGATGTACGACTGTGAGAGGGACCGTTTTCTGTTTTAGAGATTCGACTGAATTATACGGTGGATGGATTGAATTATAATAATCGTTCGAGAGTAGGTAAAAGGTTTGTAAGTTATCCAACGAGTAGATAGAATTTCGCGGAGCGACTAAATAAAATAGAATTTCGGAAAATCTATGGACCATTCAGATTTCACTTACAAGTAAATTCTTTTTTCCAGATCCCGTGTCTGGAGTTATGAATGACTATAAGAGTGGCGAAATTTCGCAGCCGCCCCCATCGGAGGTACGGTCTAGTGAACCGTTTCTCTTTCATGAACTCGAGGAGGAGAGGCAAGAACGGGACGCGCGGCGGGTCGCGACTTATAAATCACGTCGACAATCGGGGTTAGTACAGGCACCCCTTGGAAACCTGTTCCGCCGAAGCGCGTCTCGTCGGCCATTGTTCCGCTCCATTTCGAACTTTCCTGACCCCCTGGGTGTATAAAAGGGACCCGTCTAATCACACGTATCACGCATGTTAATTAACGGACCGGGTCCTTTCTACATTGCAAACAACGACGCGAGATAACCGTAAATTGCTTCCAATTTAACACACCATGGCCAACCCGGGGACCATCATTTGTCAGCGGGAGTGGGGAAAAAAGAAGCCGCAGAACCGTGTCTCGTCATCTCCGTTAAATGGGTTTTTAAGTACGATATTCTATATCTCTATAGGTTGCACCGTTATGAACTGGTAACGTGATTACAACGAAGCATATAAATGGCTTGGGGACTCTTTTTATTGGCTTACACGGTTGGTTGTTTTACTTCTATTAAATATATTTTTAAGTACGATATTCCCTCTCTGCACCGCTATATTCACGTGAAAGCGTTGTAGGGGAAGGGTCAGACTACCTGAATTCACTGAAATTTTTATGACTGCATCCACGTAAAAATTTTTACAGTCATGTACTTTATTAGATAGAATGCTGAAGTGCAAATTAGATTCTGCAGGTATTATTTTTGAAGGTCTATCAAATTTAAGAACACGAATGGCAGTCAGTATTATTTGTAATATCATTGTTTTCAACGAAACATGAACGCAATATGACTTTGAAATTCTCTGGCGAATCTAATAAGTGACGAAGCAAAATGAATATGAATTATACTCAGTATTTCCGTAATAACAGGTTCTAGCTACACTTTCAATATCTGTATGCTAGGTTGTTTGATGTTTAACTGAGATTTCATTGAATCGCGGTTAGTGATAAAATCTGCGCGAGATTTCAGCGCGAATGAGATGGACGAGAGTACTCACCTATTTTTCTCCAACTCGTTATGAGTAGTCCTGCAAATGGAAAAAAGTGCTCTTGTAAGTCCTCAAACTAGTGAAATAAAAAAAATAACGAAAAATATTTTTTCTAATTTAATGTAACAATAATATAACATTTTCATTGGCTACATATAACGCACACGGTCAGCTGAAACTCGAATAACACTGTATTTGATCTGGTAAAGATTTGTTTTGTTTTAAACGATGCACGACAATTTACAAGCTTATACAATACAACGGATTCACGGTGTGAAACAAAACGCGGAGAAACAAATCGGTTGGAAAGTGGTGGAATTGTAAGCGAAATAGCAGTCGAGTGCGGAACTGTCAAGTCAATGGTCTGTGCGATACACAAAAAAAAGGAACTGTAAAACACAGAGAAACTTTATCCGGTTGAAACGAGGTTACACAATTTTTCTTGATAAAGCTACAAGCAAATAATTCAAAAAATAACTCGGCTAAAATTTAAATAACGAACAAATCCAATTCACACCACTCAAAGTACTCAATAGATATTTTTTTTGTTTGCAAAATCGTTGCTTTATTCTCTACTTTGAAAACAGAATAATATATTAATACTATAAATTTTATTAATTTCAATAGTGATCTCCTATAAAATTTCCACAAAGTTTCTAGAAAAATTTACTGAAAACCTTCCTTTTAACCCTCTAGTACTCTCCATTTTTGTTATTCTACTCTTTTCTGTAGTTACATCAATTTAAGTTAAATGTAAAAAAATTAATACAACACGCCTTTCTGCTCTGTGACAAGTACAAATTATTATCAAGAATCTTGTATATTCATGTATAAATAACCTTAAAAATTCAGGAGTCTCGTAGATCCAGCTCGAATTCTATGTCCCGAAAATGGTCCCTCGATACTAGAGGGTTAACACATATGCCACAAAACTTCCAGGCAGAACAAACAACATAACCGAACCAAATGAACTAACAACCAAACAATATAATCGAAAGAACATCGAACAAGCGACGATTTACAGTAAGACCTCGATTATGCGAACTGATAAAAAAAAATCATTATTCAGTACACAATATCCAAACGTGTATACAGTGTTCAAAAAAATCCACTTGAAACATGTTTCTGTCGTGCATTACAATTCGGATAATAGAACGCCAGATCAAACGACGTTCAGATAAACGATGTTCCGATAATCGAGATTCTACCTGTACAAATAAAGGGTACCCACCTGCTGCCCTGGGATTTTTTCGTCTTTGGCCTTTTTGTGACCGTCCGCATATCATCGGGTATCGGCATCGTCGAAGCGTAGCCATGTTCAGCTTCTGCAATGAGGAACAATCACTGGTGAGAGGAGGTATGAATACAACATACAGGGTGTTCAAAAAATAACCATATCAACCAAATTTTGAGTAACACTTTACTCAATAGAGATAACATTATTAACCCTTTTAATACCTTAGAACTGATGTATCGGATTCGTTGATTTTCCGAAAAATATCTTGAACCGATATATCGACTTTCCATTTTTAATATAATTTAAACAAACGTAATGACACATTATTTTTATAAAATAAGTTTATATAGTACTACACACGTGTAGACAATTAAAAAACCGAGTAACGTATAAAAACACCTTTACTAAATAACGCTCAATAATTTGCTTCTCAGTAGAGCCTCTTAAGTAGACATAGGCTCCCATAACCACTTGCGAGAAACGTCGCCACCTATCGGCTGCAAAACAAGTTAGACATTCACGCTGCTCACATGACTTGGGACAACCTGTATACATACACCCACGAGCAAACTCGGCTTCCACTATGGGAAAAAGCGTCGTAGAAGAAAAGTCTTCTACCACTTGGCAAATTTATTCCAGGTAGTGAAATAAATGTTAAATAGAATGTTAATTTGGCATACATTTCAGTAATTCTAAATACCAAATGGTAGGAGGCCTTGTCCCTACGTTACTTTTTCCCCTAGTGGAAGTCGAGTTTGCTCGTCGGTGTACATACACTTGGCATCGCGATGATTCCGAAAGGCTGAGTGGTGGAGGATGGAAAGGGGGGTGGTAGTTCTCGCGAAAAAACAGCGCACGGTGTATACACATATACACGATTCGCGGAGAAAGCTCGGTGCTCGTTAAGCGCTCGCGTACACGGTGCCCCGGCGACGTGGCGGAATAAAGTCACGTTCTGTCTTGCGAGCGTAACTTACTGCGGCATTAAAGCGCCGCGCAAACACCGCTTCGCGCCGGCTTCGACGATCCGCTCTCGAAAAGAGCAGGATTTATGTTACGATTTCAGTTAACGCCGTCTCGTCGTCCCAACGTACCAGAGAGGACAGAAAGAGACAGACCGCTCGGACGCGAGTATAACCAATCCCCCCGGTCAAATAAATCCGGGACAGTAACAATGTAGAAGTGATCCGGACTGTGGAAGAGACGGGGGAGGGGGGACTTCCTGCTCGGACGATCGACGATTGAGTAACACCCAGCGAAGAGATACGAGTGTGGGCGACTTCTCGCGAATTTTCGAGTCTCTTCGACTGGGAATTCCGGGACAGACTGCCACGGATTTATGATTTTTCACGGTTACGAAAATATACGGCGAAATACCAAGTATATAATGCCGTTCCCGAATTATTAGTGACTTTTGATACCCTCTGGGTTGGTATGCTGGTAACCTTGAGGGTTCAAACCGCTAAATATGTCCTTTGTTATTTCTTCAGGGCTAAACAGTCCGAAAAATAAACGTGAAGATTTCGGAGTAGGTCCTTGTTCGATGAATTCTGTTTTTTGTTAATATATACACAAACAAAACAGGTATACGAGGTAACTGAATTTTAAAACGATCCCGCACCCTGATAACAACGTAATTCCCCATCCACGTTGTCGAAGAGTGACCGTATCCATCCCAGAAATAGGTCTTAATAACAACGCAAAATCCACTTACGTTCACCGTTCGAAGTTTCGTCGAAAAGGTTCCGCTCCCTTCGGGGAGGAGACAGGAACTAAAAACGCAATTACCGGGAACACCGGAATAATTCTACCTATCCGGCATCGATCGACCGACTGATATTACGTAAGCCGTAGGGGCAGAGGACACCGAGGTAAGGAGACACGTGGCAAGAATAAAAAAAAAAAAAAGAGAAAGAAAAGGAACTCGAAGCAGAAACAACTAACCGGAGCGGAAGACTAGTCACCATAACGAGTGGTGTAAATTATAAATGCCTCCTTTGGCGGGACGACCGAGTCTACTCTCCGATCCTCATCATCGTACAACAGGCTTAATGGCAGCCGGTGAAAAAGGACACGCGCGGCCGCGACATCGACCATCTGTCCTCGTGAAAGAAGAAAAGCGTTCCGTTCGCATGCCATGACCATAAGGTCGCGTTCCCGCGTCATGCAAAAGAGAAATTCGCGTGGTGAATAGCCCAAAGGCGCACAGAGAAATAAAGGAACGTAGAGGCCTTATGGAACACGTTTTTTTTTTTTTTAGAAACAAGGCAGAGGGTTACACGGAGACTATTTCCAAAAATTTGAACAGAACTGGAGACCCGTCTGTTGCGTGAGAATCTTGGAACAAAGGATCGGAATGAATGGTGATCTCGTTTTCTCTGTTGCCCTGCCCCTTTATTCACCTCGTTGACGCTAAATTATTGACTAGGACTGCTGACTGACTCGGTTAGCTGGGCCACGTAAGAGGTCTGTAGCACGAGTATACATTGAGTTTTAAGAAGTTTTGTAAAGATATTGACGATGTATTCTATTTTTTTTATTTTAGAATTTGGAGTATTCTTTCTGTGATCCTTCGCTAACCAAGGATTCCTTTAATTGAAATATTCGGATTTGATTATCTTGAGACGACTACAGTACACTCAAATATGAAGAAGACAGTAGGTTAAGCATAGTTTTGAAAATAGGATATATGAATAATCCAATTAGGCCTTCACAATGGAATCGTATGTTCCAATAGGTCTGAATCGTGACAGAATAAGGTAATTAATTATATTATGAATAGTAATGTGTGAATGGTAATGTGTCTGTTCTAATCCGTCTTTTCTTCACCTTGGCCGCTGAACACCTAATACATCTGTTTCTTCCTGACTTTTATTTATAAAGATAAATCATTCAATTTGGGAGCATACATATAACCCCATCAGAATTTGCAAAAGTAGGGACGTTTTGTCTCACTCACTCTATCCACAGGTCCAGTCAGTCCCAAAAAGGTTAAGTTGCAATAATCGAATAGAAGCTAAACGACAACTAACCAAGAAACGCAGGCAATGGTAACAAAATGTCCCCCTCTTCTTTGAAGATTCTGTACGAACAGAACGCGAATGCAAAGCCTGAGTAACACGAGAGTATTGCGGTGCTCCACAGAATATCTGACGTACATCGTGTGCACTTCGCTCGTTAATGGTCACGTGTGCTTTTTTCACTAGACCGCGTATCCTTTCATTAAGCCACGGAACACGTGTGACGTTTTTCTACCGGACGGCTGTTTGATGTCTGAATTAGGGAAGTACGAACGTCTCGGGTTGAAAGAAGTCATCAAGAGACGCGAACGTAAAAAAAAAAAAAAAATAGAAGGAAGCTTGCGGCTCTTTTAGAAAGATATTGCGTGTATGCGTGCCACGTGTGACATGTATAACATATCGATACGTGACACGTGACGTTTCTGAGTCATACCGCTATTTTAAAACTTCTTTTACCATTTACATATTTTGTAGGTGATTCGAGATTCGCGTGCATCACAGTTTCGTGATTTCCGACTCGTATGTATCGCGGCTTGTGATTTACACATTTTATAACCTCCGATATGCAACTTTACATCTTTTCTGTGTTCTATGCACTTGTGTGCCAACTAATTCACATGATCCTATGCTTTCGAATTTGCCATTTACGTTACGTTGTAATTCCCAATTTTTGTCTGTGCACTTTGTAATTCGAGACTTGTATGTCTCCCCTATTTTGACCTATTGTGACACTCGTATTCGTGTGTTTCGTGACTAGCTGGCTCTGATTACTCGTGTCTGTGTGCTTTGTGATTTCCGATCGACGATTGTGTACATTATGACTTATGGGCTTTGTGATACATGCGATTGCTGTCATTTCTGTCATAGATTCTATATACTCTTGTGACTCAAAAATTCCTGCTTCAATGTTCATTCAACGATCTTGGGGACCTCAACGTTTGAATACAATTTCGAATTCGTAATTTCTACATTCATCCATGTTTGCGTTCGCTCTTCCTGATCCCTTATCGCGGTTCCCCCCCCCTGTTTTCATTATTTCTCTCGTATGCTCTGCAGGAATGAAAGGATGAATTGAAAATGAGTTTCCGTGAATCGTCAACGGAGCGATTCACCGCGGAATCGTCGCGGGAACACGCGAAACAGTATTCCGCGACCGAGCGTACACCCCCTTCCTCGAAGTCTCACACGTACGGACAATTTAATTCGTCGGGACGCATTCATCGTGTACTCTCGCGGCGAGTAATTCTGTTGCGGCGCGATGAATTCCGCTAATGCCGGTCAGGACGGTAGTTTAACGCTCGGCTGTTGCGTGTACTGCTATCGAAGAGTTACGAAGCCGATTAACAGGGTCACTGGGAAATAATTTCTACAAAGACCCGAAAATTCGTCAATTACTACATTCTCTTTATTCATGTACTGTTATTTGGGAATTTAACGTTAAACGAATGAATTTATTTTAAAAACTTTGAAATAAAAAGTATGGGAATTTCTAAAGCGTAAGAACGTACCAAAATGTAGCTACGGGAGTATTAAAAGCATGATAGAGATGGTATTCAAACAAGAAATTGTAATAAAATACAATACAATGATTGATTTCACTTGTACAAAATTTAGTTTCTGTCTCCCTATCGTTCCAAACATGTGTCAGAATGTCTATGACTCAATTTATTCTTAATGATATGATACCACAGAATACACCCGATGTGTATTTCAGAGGTCTCGGTTGAAAAGAGAAGATCCGTAGTTCACTACCTCTACGTCCCAACCTATAGAAACGTTCGTTAAACACGAATCACGAGAGCAGTATGGAGGGCTCTACTGTACACGTATTACCCGGTCCCGCGACCGTTCACAACTGCCTGAAGATTACATAAGCGGCCGCAGCTTCCGCGCTAATAAGCGGTCTTTTACGCGGGTCGTATCGCTTCGGAAACGTTTTTGAGGGTAGCCGGTGCCAAATAGGTCGATTAATATAACGTAACAGCCTTATCTAGAGTATCTTCCAGCAATAATAGTTAATACTCTCGATCGACGATTCCCCGTGATTCTCGTTCCCATTCCCCCTTCATCCCTGAATCCTTCTGATCGAGCCGGACCAATAAACCGACGAGGAAAGCCTCTTTCTGGGGCTCGGCCGTTCAGGCTCTCCGAGCCTGCGGCTCGTTCTATGGGCGCACACAAAACGGTCCCTCTTGGTCGCGTGATGCGAGCTTAAACCACGGAGGAGATCGATGCGCGTAATGGAGGGAGTGAGCACAGTGAAACAAAGAAGCCGTTCTCGGGGCGTTCGGGTGAACGTGTGGTGTACGTGACGCGGGCGGGCAACGAGCGCTCCAGCGCGCTTGTGCACACACCGTCGCGCACAGGGTGGGGTGGGAGGAGGGATAGGGACGTGTGGATCTTAAAAGAAACAGGAAAGAAGAATTACGACACCGTAAATCTCGAACGGTGGGCTATTTGAAAGCGAAACGCAGTACATATCGTGGAAAAATGCAAAGCGACACCACGTTTATTGTGATCCGTGTATTTTGGTTATTTACGTCACACACCGCCGTCTTTCGGCTCGGGCGATGTTTGGAAACCGGGACCGGAGGATTTGTACGGGCGGTACCAGAAGAAAGTTCGCGGACGGAATTATACGGTTCGCACACGTCGTGTAACCCCGGTGGAAACTGTTCTTTGAAGTGGCAGGTCTGGTCTGTTAAATACATTATTATTGGACCGCGGATGGGGGTCATGCAAATTCGCAAGTTTAGAGATCAATTCGAAGGGGAATCAGAATGGAGAGCGGGCACTTGTGTCTAGCGTTAAAGTGTCCTATTACAGATTACACGTGAAGTAAAACTGTTATTAAACGTCATGGAAATTTCGTATATTAGCGGGTATTTAATACTCGTGTGTATGCTATAAATGTAAAAAAATTCACAGTGTACTTACTAAATTGGGCTGAGTTAAAAATAATCCCTGTTGGAAATTCTGAAAGTTTAAGGAATAGTAATTAAAAAGTAATAGAAATTCTTCGAATTTTATAATAATGGAGTATGTACAATAGACAAAAGGTAACTGTCAATTCTCATCGATGGAAATGAACTTGAAAAAGTTATATGGAAGAATTTGTGACTCAACCCAATATGATAACATTATAACAGATAAAATTTCGAAAATTCCAAAAATTCTATAAATAAAAATCCGTTACGTAAACAGTTTTTTGAAGATACTCGTATCTCAAATATAACGCAAAGATTTCGTTTTCACAGTTCTATAATCGTCAAATATAAGATCAGCTCAGCACGTCGTAACTTTCCGTTGAACGATGCAAAAACTATAAACTATAATGCATCCCACTTATCGTTCATATTCTGTACATTTCTTATAACCGAAAATAGTTTCATTACAAGTGTGATTACATTACGACTCTTTGGTCACCCTGTGCGCTGGCGAAAACAACGTTCGGATCACTGGTTATGGTGCTCCAAAAGAAAGACCGGGAAATCACGAGGATCAGAATTAAAAACAGAATACGGAATTCTCATTTGTCTGTAGTACAATGATTTCGGATACATGTAGAAAGTAGAATTTCCAAAGTATTTACACAAATATGGCGGATAATGGAGGGCACAATTAAAATGCCATTAGCGGTTGAATTTTTCTAGTGGGTGAGCGCGCACGTGCCGCGTATGGCGGACAAATAGAGAAACGTACGAGCCCACGAAATGCAAAAAAGAAACGACGGGAAACGGGATAACATGAGACTCGGCACGCACACGCGAGGAAACGCAGCATCGAGTACGACGCAGCAGTATTATAAGTGGAGTGATAAAATGAGATCATCGTTAACGCTTCTCGCGCACCGCTGCACACGTATTATACCGCGGTCGGCCGACCTACACAGCACGACACACGCAACGCAAACCGTCCGGCCCGTGGAAAAAACAACAGGCGCATATACATATATTTCGCCCGGTGTTTACCGGCGTGGCCACCAGAAAAACGGGCGTGCAGCGGTAACGTGGCTGCGCAGCGTACGCTACGTTGCGTCATAGGAGCATATTATCGACGAAGGTCACACGGTTCGCTCCGAAATCCGCCATCGGAACGGGGCGGTAAAAAAAATCGAAAATTTCTTGCTTGGGCCCAACCGAGTGTCATAAATCTTACTATAACAATGTAGAACGAGGGATAAAAGTATTTGTACGATAAGAATATGGAAATTATTAATTGAATTCAAGTATAAGCTCCTCAAAGTCAAACGAACACAATTGTTTGCAAATGCCTGATTTTAGTATTTTTCATAATCTCATTTTTTTAGTATATCATATTTTATAACATCAAACCTAATTTTTAAATAATATAATGGTGAGAAAATAATATCTATGATAATATATACATTTTTTGTACTTCTGTCACAGAGTCGATCAGCTTGTTTTCTAAGTGATTCATAATTGCCACTGGCAATTTTTTGAAAGTAATAATCTACAAAATGTACAAACACTTCTGTCCTTCACTGTACATGGAGGTACTCCAAAAAATTGTAATCTAAGCCAAAGTTCATTCAAAAGATGTAGAAATAAAGACCAAAATTCACGAATAAATGAACCGAGGTAAGACGTAATAACAAAGGTCATGTTCCGACATCCAGCCATGGCACACGTACGTTCGTTGCCATGTGCCAATGACATGGCGCACGCATGCACGCACACACCGGTTGGACCTCGATGGCGTTCGCGTACGGAAAAGGAGGGAGGAGAGAGAACAAAAAAAAAAAAGTATGCAGATGGCGGTTTCGGTTCACTACCTCTTTCCCAGCAATCCCCCGGCACTCACACCGCGCGGCGGCGGACACACAACGCGATAAAACGTTCAGAAACGCGCACGAATGGCCCCCGTATTCACCGCGATGATGCGTCGCTGTCGTTGTTGTTGTTGATGTTGATGATGTTGTTGGTTGGCGCTGCTGCCGCCGCTTCTCGAACTTTTCTCTCCACCCGCCTGTTCAACCGCCTCTCCTTCTCTTCCTCCTCTTCCTCCGCCACCTCTTCCTCCTTTTCTCGTCCGTCCGCGCGCCTCGCTGGCTGCGTTCGCCTGAGGTGCACGTAACACACAACACACGTACGCGCGCGCGCCGCCACACGCGAGAGAGAGGCTGTAGCCCGATTTCAAACGAGCACTAGATCCGCGGACGGCAAATCGACGGCCAGGCCCCTCCAACCGCGATAGACATTAAAGACCGTCTTTTTTTTCCCCTCGAGCCTCGCTCCTGTTTTCGCGATATACCCTTTCTGTCGTCTGTTCCCGAATTCAACAACTTTCTCGTCTGTATTACGTTGGCGTCTGTCCTTTACTCGAGAGCTTCTCTACTTTTCGCTGGTCACTCGTGTGTCCTTTGTGTATTTGTATGTGGGAGTGTGTGTGTGTGTTCGTTTCTTCTGTTCTCTTATCTGAACGACGTTTCACTTGTATGTTACTCTCCTTCGTTTTTCTCCACTTCTCTTTATCACTGTCTCAATCTCTTTCTCTCTCGCTTTCTCTCTCTCTCTCTCTCTCTTGCTCTCCTCTGTTTCCTAACTTTCAACCTGACTTCGTCGATTCTTCTTTCTTCACCTTCGTTTCACAACATTCACTAGGAGCACACCAAAGCACGTGAAAGAATATCAACGGCCGAAATACGAGGCAAGAATACGACGCGCCGCGCGCTGGCTCTACACTTCCTTACACGGAGTCGCGTGCGAGCGAACCGAGAGCGTGTTCGCGATATAAAGAGAGAGAGAGAAAAGAAGACGGTAGATAGAACAAGAAGATGAGCGAGAAAGAGAAAGAGAGAGAGCGAACACGAACGGTACAATTGGAAAGAGGCACTACAACGAAGTCACTAGGCGAGTCGAAAGGGTCGAGATTACGCGTGTCGCCGGTAATTTATCGTGGACGAGCGAACGTACGCGAAAGAGAACCTGACCTCGATCGGTGGCTGGTTCGGCTCGTGCGCGCTCGACAAACTATTATTTTTGGTCAGAACGCGAGTATCACGGACGGTGTGCAGCGTGCATGTGCATACAACCACTTTACGTGCCGGCTACTTGTTTTGTGCAGCGACCTTGAACGCGTAGATCTTACAGAGTGTCGTGCACCGCGAACAGGAGAGAACGGATCTAGCCGTTACGATATTTCAAACGACCAACGACTATCGCAACCACTCGAAATCGAATCGTTCTCGCGACTGATCGGAATTCGAATATCGCACGAGTCAGAGAATCATAAAAATAACGTTACTTCGAACTATACCGTATTTCACTGCGAGTGTATGTTTCTTTTAATAGATCTCTTTCGAACTCGGTCAACTTCTCGCGGGGTCAACGAAATCCAACAAACTCACCACGCATCGTAATACACTATGTATGCTTGTGGTAGCAACGAGTCAAGAGCACACACGTAGACCGCCATGTAAAATCATCCACCAATAAAACCGCAATTTGCTCGTCAGAGAACACGTACGTTGTCACGGGTCGAACAACACACGTCAACTCTTCTAGAAACTCGCATCGTACCGTAGCCGATCGTGCAAGTTTGATTGTGTACTGGTTTCCCGTTCACGATGGGAAGACAGAAAGGCGCTCCCTTGATTCTGTTCTCGGCCGGACTGCGAGCGATTTTCAGTATATACACACATGCACGTCACACCGAACAAACACGCCTACGCAGACGCGCGCGACGTGAGCGAAAACGCTTGTATGCGATCAGTGGTGTAACGAGTGCGTTTCCCATACGAGAAAACAACTGCAAACACGGTCGGTGCACACACGTTGACCGTGTGTAGAATGTTCCATGAATACAGTACTCTAGGTAGAAGTGACACGATATACGGTGAGAGTAACTTTAAGAAAATTGTGAAAGTGAAGAATTATGCTCCGAATTTGAAAATACACTAACGCACGTTTTTTGACAACGTTCCCGGTCTAACATGGATATGGTACCTCTCGTATTTTGTATACATGCACCAGCGAACGCGTGCGTGTGGATGACGTAGAGGACCGAGTTGTATTTCGACCCTATCGTCCACCTAGTGACATTTGGCACGCCGGATACGTTCGCTCACACACGAAAGTAGGCGCAGCTGAGCGACCACGTAAAGAAAGACGGTCACTGTGTAGGATCAGCACTGCCTAACACTACTACTGCACAGGTTTTCGCGGGTACAAAAAGGGGGGCTATTCAGGACAAAGGAAAGAAGGCTCAAACTGACCGACGACGACGAGCCCACGAGCCCCCGACGACGACGACGACGACGACGACGACGACGACGACTACGACAAGCCGACGAGCGAGCGACAGCCTGATACCTCCGCACTTCGCGAGCACTCTCACGCATTTATCGATGTCAAACGTCTCTGCACCGTCGAAGCACCAGGCGTCTTTTCTTACGGGCACGCTGATTGGCCGAACGGTGCGCGAGTGCACTGCCTCCGCCAATCGACGCTGATAACACGGGACTGCCGTACGAGCCGCCACCAGCACCGGTGGTGTCACGTGAATCTCATGCCCGAAAACAAAACAAACAGCTGGCTGTGTTCCTCACCTTGCTCTCTTGCACGCTATCGTGCGTGTGTTTTCAATACACGATATTCCTGGTGTACGTATCCTCTTCGTTATGTATAATGTAGAAAAATCATAGAATTGCATGTATCCCAGTAACGCCTCGGTGAAATCTGTTGATACCAATTAGTGCGAAGATTATACTTCTAATCAAGAGATCAATTTTTTAATTATGCCAAATGTATTTTCAAGGATTAATATTAGTTTCTTTGTTTCTTTGCACTTGAATAAGAAGTATGTTTTGTTATCTTTATGATGTTTTTTGTAAGAGATTCAAGATATTGATTGATATCTTCTTATCTTGAGTGTTTTAAGAATGGTCCGTTTGAAAATTCATGCAATCGCGCCATCTCCTGCATCTCGCTTATCGCCACCCATATCTTTTCAAATTGGTACCTCTGAATCCAGGATCTCCTCGATGGAGTTTAATACGGCAGCGCGTTTGAATCTCGTGGATCTATTATGTGATTTTCGAAAATTTGATGATTTTACAGATTGTGATAGTGAGAGATATACGCGAATGCAATACAAGGCCCTAGGATGTAGGTATCCCCGCAAAATCTTGAAAGGTTAGAAGAACTTGTACAAAAAACGCTGTTTGTATACGAAGCTGTGACAGACGAAGTAGTAAGTTGCATGAGATCTTTACTTTTTTTTAACGGTTTTTATTTTCAAGAAAAAATGATAGTTCATAAACGATATAACACATGCCAAAAATGCGGACCAGTGTTTTATGAATTATTATTTGCGACTATTCATATGTATTAAATAATATGAAAGAATTTATATTTGTGGTACCATGTTTTCTCTTACGATTTTTAACCGCTAAATTGAAACTGCTATGTGTCATGTAAGGTATAAAACACAGATAATCATACCCTGAATAACATTTATAAGAAAGTGATGCCAAAACTAAAAATAGTAAAGTGCACTGAGAATGATTCCGAAACTTTATGAATTTAAACAATTGCAAATTTTTTCAAACGTTTATTCTTATCGTGATACGATTATCTTCTATTGATGAATATATTGTGCCTCATAAATTATTGGTTGAGTAGAAAGCTGCATGCTTAGCAACAATACATATTTAAACAAAAATAACTTCTTGAAACGCAGCCAAATAATAAATAATTTAAACACACAATAAATTTCGTTTGAACAGCTTAGTGTAAGTTGTAAATTAAGATATTTTTATTGCATAATAATTTCCTTCATAAAAATATTACAGACTACATTTATAAACAGTTTTTACTCTTTCATACTTAATATTTCAATACATAATTTGTCTTATATTAAATAAAAGACATCAGTTTTTATGTACAATTACTTTTTTTTGCAATTTTATTTGTTACAGAAATATACATAACAATATTTTTTGTTGACTTTTGTATACTGATTCCTGAGTAATAATCTCTCAGTATCTAAATTTCATTGTATTTAAAATAATTATTTTATTACATTCGAGACACAGGTATTATGTCCATTAATGTAAGAGCATTCTGAAGTACAATTTGTAATGCATGTAGCATATATAATCTTGCAATCATTGTTGGAATTAAATGATCGTATGCTTCCTGTAAAAAAGTATTAATACATTATGAATTATTAATAACATAACAATATCTATGATACTATAAACAATCAGTAGCAACAAAACTAACAGTTAAAATTCTAATTCTCCGATAGTATACACTAAATTTCTGACTTAATCGTGATAAAAATATACAAATTATTTGGGGATTAACTTGAAAAGTAGGTTCATATTTTATGCAATCTTTCACGATTTCTTGGTATCCAATAATAAAATTGTATATAAGGTCCCATTCTTCCTGCAAAAAGTACATGTGATTAATTAGAATATATTTTCTTCTAATTAAGCATAATGACATTTAAGAAATCTTTCAAGAAAGTACCTCTTGGTTTAGTAAAGAAAAGTTTACATCACTGATGTCTGGTAAATTAGGATATTCTCCTATAGATCTTTTATCAGTATATTTCTCAATAATAGCTGCTATTCTTGCAGCATTGTATAATATAAAGGAGGCACCTAAAAATTAATGATAGTAGAAAATATATATCTATAAATTTAAATTAGATTAAATTATAAATTGCAAGAACCTTTTGTATTTGTAGTACTTTTATCTGTCATGGCATTGCATCCAATAAAAACAGCACGACTTGGTTTTACAGACAGTAATTCGAATGTGGCTGTTGCTTTTGCAACATTTTCAAGAAAATTATCATTTGTTCTTACATCATTCTTATGCATCTCAAAATACTTCTGATCATTTAATACTTTTAATTCATTAACTTTGTTCCTGATGTATTCTTGCCATGTTAACGATGTCTCTTTAATATTCGATTTTAAATTTTTGACAACACCGCATATGCACTTTTCATAATTGTCCACAACATTTCCTTGAGACTTACTGGTAAATACAATTTTCACACTGCTGTCTTCTTCGCATGTTCTGCAACCATGCAAGTCCAGAATTTTTTCAGTGACACTTTGTATTAAGTGTAATCTAGCTGTTGTCAGTTCAGATTCTTTATCTTCGTGTGTCCTCAAACTGAAAACTTTATTAACTGATAAACTTCTCCCATAGTTAGTTTTATGTGCAATAACATTCTGAATTGTGGTCTGTATAATAGGAACACGTTGTAAAAACAAACAGACCCTTTCTTTTTCTAGAAAATACCTTTCTATTTTTATTGGCCAGTCATTGCTACAGGATATCAGTAATTGTAAAACCTTGGAAAATCAATATAAATATTAATAAAACAAGGTTATGTTTGATGATTTTATGACAGTTATCTTTGATTGCACATTACCTCTTTTGCAATATCTTTATCTGTTTTGTCATCTACCTGATTGCCATGCATGTGTAGGAAATGTTGCAAAATTGTTGTGCACTTTCCATCACACATATTTTCACCTTGCAACCTGCTTTTCCATACTTTGAGACTGGATAAAAAATACAAATCACCATTTGTTGACAAGTTGTCATTGCTTATTTTAATAACTGAAGTATTTGTACAATTATTACCACTTAAATACAATGTTATACTATTAATAAGCTTGTCTATGCAAATAGATAAATTTTTCATTTGGGACTCCATGTGTTATGTACTCCAATGTGAACTAGACTTTACTTGCTCCAGTATAAGATTGTAATACACTCACTATTGAATTCTATAATTGACTGTATACCATAATTAAAGTAGAATTTTTTATTCTATAAAAAAGTCGAAAATTGTCACAATAAGATAGAATTTTTTTTTCTCAATGGTTAAATACCACATTTCAAGAATGTCTGGTCAAAATATACACATTTAAGGAATTTTTTATTCTACAAAAAAGTCGAACAAGGGTCGTCGAAAATACAATGATATCCAATGGTTTCTTTATTAGAGTCAGAAAGTAAATTGTGCAAATAAGTGATTGCAAATAGTAACATTAATATATTATCCACTATACTTATAAATACGTTTATGTATCTTACAAGGTCATCACAAAAGAAAACAATTTGTCTATTTAAGCGTATCTAGTATGATAATCATTAAGTAAAATACTCGGCCGTAATACATAAACAATACCTAGGATTTAAATCTTTGATATTAATTATCACATAGAATGGTGGTACTTAACGTAAGCTATCGCTGCGAGTTCTTTGCAGAATTCTTCCGTGACGATCACACTCTCGAACAAAATGTTCTCCTTCTCTCTAAAATAAAAAATTAATGTTTTCGAATGTGATAGATATTAAAGAAGGACAACAATAAATCATTTGGGACCTAAGAAATTGAGGGAATAAGGGCTTCAGAAATGGTGAGAATAACTATAAGCACGCTGAAGAAACGCTGTTCTACCATTCTATTCACCTCAGTTCTGTGATACTCTCAGAGAATAGTTTTTCGTGAAAAAAAGAATCGAAAATACAGAATAATATTTTTTTACGATATCCTACGTTCTAAACAATGCATTCTACAAGTGTCCCTTAGGCCCTTACAATTGCTCGAAATGCTTGGTCCGAAATCTTATCACGCGGTCTTTACGTACCCATCGTGGGAACACTCTTCGAGAAGACGTTCCCTCGTCTCCTTCAACATTTGCTTGTGATCCGGCGACTTCGGTACCTCGTTCACGAGCTGTTTGACGACTTTTTGCAGGCAAGTGAACAAGTTTTTTGTCCCGGGTGCAAGCGGTAGCAGCGGATTCAGTAAAAATTCATGCAGGTACGGATGAGGTAACAGCGCGAGCCTCGAGATCACCACAGTCAGCTGTAGGTTGATCTCGTACTTTTGCCGCGGTATATTGGCCACCTTCTCGAAAAGCATGGCCATGAACGGGCCCATGTAAAACCGTACGGAACAGTGGTCCGCTTCCGGTCTGGAGTCGGAGCTCGCCGAGTCGTCGACCGTCACCGCTTCCAACGGCCACGCCATCAAAGAACAGTCCGATAGCACTGTAGAATACTGCCTCTCCAAGTCGGCCATGTAACGCTCGTAATTGTTCACGTCCGTGTCCGTTTGGAGATAGCGCGGAATCAGGGACAGGAAGCTGTAATGAAGTTTGATACTGAATTGCTGATCACCGTGCTATTCCTTCGTTGTGAAGATTCCATTTGAATTTTTTACAAACATAGTTTAGGTATTACGTGAAAAAATTAACCCAAACTGCTGAATTCTTTTAATAGAAGAAACAGCTTTTACTCAGTTCGCTCATTTTTTGGGTATTTATAATTGTGAATTTACCGTGGACTTTACACACCCGTACCATGCGAGTTATTTATTTGGTAACCGATAGAAGCCTTGATAACTTTCTTATTCCGGAATGCAGGAATAATTGTTTAGCTTAAAATCTTCGTAAGTTTTTATATCGAGAAAAAATTGATTGCGACTTTTGTACCTTGATAAAAGAAACAGAAAAACTGCTCTGCGATTTTTTTCCGAAATTAATATTTATAGCTAAATTTGCAGTTTTTTTTTCTTCTGAACATTGCGTCAGTATCAAGTTCGGTGAGCTGTGCGCAGTAGATTCGCGCGTAGAGCATTGATTCCAATGGTTCGTTATACAACACTATAATGGAATTCAACATTTACCAACAAATATTCAGTTTCGAAAAAAATAGAAAACTTTCCTGTTTCTTGTATTATGAGCTACGAAACAAGCGCAATATTATTTCAACAGAAAAAAGTCATTGACTATATATACGTCCAGAAGTTGACGTTTCTTAAACAGTCCATTAACGTTCGAGCTGTTATTCATTTAAATAGAAATTAATAATGTTTTAAGGATCACTGACGTAAGTAGTGACATTTACCAATTTACTATTCTGTGAATGTTACTAGGTGCCAGTGTTCGGCTGTGACTCTGCTCGTAGGAAAGATCCAACGATCCCTTTTTCTCCCTCTCTCGTTCGTCTTCCTCATCACTCCACGACGCAATTGCACTGTCAGCAGCGGTGTTGTCATAATACCCCCTCGTCGACAGATAAACCAATACGAGACAGTGTAATATATGCTCGTTCCTTTTCTCGATCATTTCCTCGAACAGCTTCAACGTTTCCAACGTTAAGTCCTCGCTGTCCGTGAAACAGTTGTCTATCAACCGGTGCAATACAGGCGACGTCCATACACTAGGTATTTCCGGACCTCGGTCTTGTCCCACCAGCCAGAAACTGATTTCTGAAAGAAATACTATTATTTTATACGGACACAGAATACGTATTAAGACGTTATACCGAAAATATAATTTGAGCTATGACAATTACTCCATTATTGGATCTTATTAAAGCACCACGAATTAAAGAAGATTAAAGAAGAAAACATCTGTGTAAGCTAACGTTCGATGCAACTGCTCCATCGATATGGAAATTTCAGTCAAGGATTGTAGAAGTGTATTGCAGAATCTTCATTATCCAATTAACAAAAGATACACCTGTGCACAATGCGGCCGAAGTTAGCTCCTTTAAACACTTGGTGACCAACGCTGTGATCAGAACAACGTGATGTTCGGCCAACGCCGGAGTCAGGATCCTCTCGAAAAAGTTCATTCTGACGCTATACAATAATCGAACCACATAAAAAACGCGGCGACTTGTCTGCACCCGGAGAACTTTTTCTCCTTCGTCCACACCGGTGAGTCTAAACCCCACGTGACGTCCACACCGTCGATCTCATTTGGATCGACGTGCGCTGGTATAGCGTTGAATAGATTCTCTAATCTATTGGGTATCAATGATATCAAATGGCTGTTGACGATCATCTGAGCGAACGATAGATCCTCCAGAGATGCCAGGACCATAATTCCCTCGCAGGCTCGAATCCTCACAGTATTGTCCTGGAAATAAGAATCTGACTGTATCATTGAGACCGACTGCGCTTTGTACGCATTAGACTTTACATTTATAACTGAACGAACTATTAAAGATCTTCTATGTTTATTTTCATGAGTACAGAATCAAATGGACTACTGTAAAGCTACATCATTCATAATGAGTAGATCGCTAATTGTACTTTAATAGAAATTAATGTAGTTCGTATTTTGTTTTTAAATCCCCAAACAGTCTATGAAAGTCAGAATCTAGCTGAACATCAAAATCATTTCTTACCGCAGTATTTATGTAACTCAACAAGGCATCTAATAGAAGGCATTTAGACTTCTGTGGCGTCTTCGAGTCCAACAAACTCTGGTCGTTCTCTGCACAGTTACCGTCCTCGTATCCACCGTACTCAGCGTCCAGCCTCAAATCCCTCAGATTCTGTAAATGTGTGTCTATCTCGTTCATCAACGCCGCGTCTTCGAACTTCTGCGAGATCTCATAGTCCTGGCACTCGGAATTCTGGGCCGTGGCGTCTGAGGTAGACACAGAGATCGGTTTTTGAGTGGCGGGACTCGAGGATTCCGATGCGTTCTCCGCCTCCCTGGAAGACACCGACTCGTTCGATTGACTAGAGGTTCCACGGCTTGTGTCAGGCTTGTTCGACGGTCTACTAAGTCCGATTGTTCGTCTTCTATCGTGCTCTGAGTTAAACAAATTAGGATTTATCAAAGTGATCGCCTGTGTGTCCAGCGGTTCGAACAGAGGATTAAAGTTATTTCGCCGTCTGGCTGGTATGTAAGTGACCTTCTCGATCTCCATTCGTTCGGCGTTAATCCTGGCGGCAACGCTCTGTCTCTGGACATTAGGGGCGTCGTTAATTATGTTAGTCACGTGGGGGTATTTGCAGACCAGGAAACAGAGGGTAAGGAGGAATTGAACTTCTTCAGCCTCCATTGGGGACGGTGGGTTTCCGTTGCATAGAAGGATCAGTCGTTGCACCGGTCCATAAATCGAGGTATGGTGCAACAGGGGGTATTTTGATCTTCCCAGTAGCTTCCTCAGGAAGGACAGGCAGACTGTCCTCATTCCTGGTGGCGTCTCCGCGCAGGCCAGCGTGGCCAGTAGGTCCAGCAGCTTGTGCTGCAACAGGTACTCCAAACATAGGCCCGGCTCATCCTCTTCTTTCTCCTCCTCCAATAGAATCTCCAGCAACCGGTTCAGGTGTCTAGGTATACCAGTGGTCTGTATGGGCGCTTTGCAGTTGGTCAGATGGTTCACATAGAAGTTCATCAACTGTTTCCAATGGTACGTGAAGTCTTGCAGCGGCGTGGCTGGCGGCGCAATCTGCAAGCAAAACTAGACCGTGTTTGTAAACAGGAAATCGATAGACCGGCGTGTCGAGTTACATTTTTCCGGTTGTGGCTCAGGAAAGCCAGATAAGGCGCAAAACACGGCGGAAGGTTATTAAATGTACACATGGTATTGGAACGAGCTTGGACAGGTGCGAGGTCGGCTTCAATAATTACATAAGTGGTTAAATATAACAACGCACATTGTCCAACCGGTCAAACCTCCGTGTCTATACAAGAATGGACACCTATCGGTAATTCTTCAATTGATTGGATGCATCCTATATGCTCGATGGTTCTCTGTCGCCGGTTAGTAAACGAAATTAGACATTTAAACGGGAGCACAGGTGAAAAACGAAGGGTGTGGAGCAGTGGTTAATTGATGGTCAAAGGCACGACGGAATCGATACGGCAGAACGTAAATAAATACAGAGGCACGTGAAACGGTGCGGAGCCAGCGACGACAGGGGAATATATACAACGCCGATCGATGAGGACTCCCTTAAATGTCTCATGTTTTACTCGTAATTCGTACGAAACGAAAAGAAACAGAAGCATGAACGGAAGGTGTGTTTCACGCGAGGAGAATATCGTGCGAAGCGTAGTATTTGCGCGGAAACAAAATAAACCAATGACTAGGCGAAGCATTATTGGTAGGGGGGTTATCACTCACCACGTCAATGGCATTCTTCAGCGCGATTTGAATGCCACTAATCATTTTAATTCACCTTCGCGGATTATACGTCCCCGGTTATGTCTCGCTATGCACGAGCCTCGCCGCCGTTCCTCGCACGGTATCGCCACGGTTCTGCATAATTTTTCATCGTTCGCTCGCGATCCGACGTGCAATTGCTTCACTGTCCCTACGACAGCGGAGAGCTTTGCGGGTTTGACGTGTCGTGTTTCTACCCGACGCTCGCCAGAGCCCGACACAGTCGGAAAACAGATGCAGCGACCTTAAACGCTCCAAAAGGGAAGGGGAAATCGTCACGGAATTGTTTCATCCAATGTTTGATAAGTGATCGCGCCGATATGGTTGAGTTGGCAAATATCATCGTGGATATTGGTATTAGAAGCTTTTGCCTGTGGTTATATTTTAGCTGGGTTTTCCTTTTCTTTTATAGAGGACTGAGGAAAACAGAACTGCGTGTTCACCGGGAAAATGTTGACATTATATGACTGCGATACGGTATGGTTGTTACTGCATTTGATGATTACGATACGGTTTTTGTTTTTTGAATATTCAAGCTTTTTTTTTAATATTCATCAAGACAACGTAAATGTAGATTATTTTTTAAACGGCATAGGAGTTAATGTAATGATGACGTTTGGAGTTGGAGGAAAATAACTGTTGATTTACAGCGTTCTGTGGTGATCTCCTATACAAGGGACAGTTTTGGCATCCTTCAGTCAAAGCAACGGGTATTATAATTCTTTAAAATTATTACTGGATTTAAATACAATATTCAAAATTAGACTAGTCTAACTATTTAGAAAACTATTGAAAAATATTGCTATTAAGTGTACAACTGAATAATACACTATTTTCTACCAAATTAGTATTTATTTGCAATAGAATCCAAAGTTTGCAATTATTCCCAGTTTTAAAAAATAAATGTTCGAAATGACGTTTTGAAATTAAATAATCTCTTCTTTCTAAAAAAAACACGAATAGAGAATTACTCATTACTACATCGAATATATTGTTTTTCCAGTCGAAACAGTTATTCGTTTCACGAGCAATAAATCGGTCGGTCGTAACCACAGCGAAGATAAACGGGATTTACGATGATTTTTATTTTGCACCTTCAACGTGTGTACACATCTCAACAACATTAACCAGTTCGTTAATTGTAAAAAAAAGTCGCGACGCTCCGAAAACGAGGATGTCCCCGCCGCCGAAGAAAAATCGATTCGGCTCCTGATAAATCAGCAACAATATCTCGCCGCTTGCATAGTTTATCTGATCCACGAGAACGCTACACATACGTGACAGATATTCGGTGTTCGCATGAGAAACCGTACCAAGGTACAAACGATTTTCGGCGGGAAACGGATCCGCGTATTTCAGAGCTGTTGATTTTTCTTACGCAATCTAATAGTAAAGTAGTTCGATGCTCGAGCAAAAAAGACGACACGTTCGGCGTTGTAGGAATACTCGATTGTATTCCATTTTCAACTTTCGTCCCACACAGTTCTTTTTTTCTGCTTTTCAATTATTTCGTTCAAATATCTCTTTTATTTCGTTAATTCTTTTTATTAAAATAACGCCACAGCGCGCGGCGTGCCTACGACCACGTCGGCTCTCTTCAGCACTCCGTTCCACTCTCTCACTCTTTCATTTTCTGACTATATACGCTAAAGGTGAAAACGACGATTTTCGCTTCGAGCCGAGTGTGTACTCACCGTTTTCAGCCGCCACAGCCGTCGCAGCATGATGACGCGCAGAACGGTACGGCGGCAACCAAAAACACAGAGAAGGAACAACCGATTGGATATTTGGATGGGTGGGGGGTCACGAGGCACGGGGGGGTAATCAGGTGATCTCGAGGTAGAATCGCGAGGAAAAAGAAAAACGCGCCCGCCACCTTCCGACTGGTGAACGCGTCTAACGTGTGTGTGGCGTAGTTTCGATTTTGTTTCTTTTCATCACTGGCGAGCTCTTATCGTTAATGACGACAATAATAAGTACATATACAATAGACACCGTCTCTCTTACGTCTCGAGGGGAACCCAGATCGTGTTCCCTCACATTGTTTTTCACCGTTTCATAATCCTACCCAATGGTAAACGTGGGTTGAATAGCGATCGACGTTTAAAATAAAACGCACAGAAGTTGCGTTACCGTCCTGTGACTCTTGTTTTCGTCGGTAGAAAAACAAAAAAAAAAAAAAGAAAGAGAGAAACGGTTTCGGAAGATCGATGGAGAGAAATGTTCTCGAGAATCCCCTGAATCCAGAATTTCGTCGTTCAACGACGATCACGCAGGGGATAGAATACGATGATCGAATGCGTTTCTTTTCTCGTTAAAGACAAAAATATATATATTAGCTACAGTCTCGTTGTAAGCACATCGTCGAGCCCTTAACGAGGTCACAATTTAGCACTTACGATACACTTGATCCAGCGACGATTCCTCTTTCCATCAATCTTTTCGAAACGTGTCTCGACGTAAGAGAACAACGAGACCAGCGTCGAGAGTTCACGACACTAGAAAATTGTGCTAACGTTTTGTTTTTGTTTGTTTTTTCTTTTTAGTCGTTCCTTTTTTGTGTGTTCCATTTTTGTCTTTTTTTCTTCTCAGTTTCATTTTCGTTCGATCGGTGCGCGCTTCGTAAGTCACGGGCCGCAAAACGTTGCGAAACGCTGACGCTTCGCGAGATCGTTCTCGGGGATGATGCCCACCGGCTAAAGAAACAATCGTGGATCGTTTTTTTTCGTAACAACGATATCGGTTGCGCGACGTCCATGGCACACGAAACGTGTGTCTGTGGCGCGACCGTGGCCTATAAATCTAAAAATACTTCAAACCGCCTAATCCCTTAAAACGGTACTACTCTTTCTCTAATAAACTGTTGTAAAACACACTTTCGCTAATTCACTCACTCACTCATTCACTCTCTCCCTCTTGTCCTCACTACTCATGTACACCCCTATCACTCTGACTGTAATCGTTCATCCGTACACGCTCACGCGATCTAAACGTTACAAGTAGGATTTACCTGGTAGGATGAAACGACGATACAAATAATTTATAAATCGCTGTATCTGAACCAAGGATCCGTCCGTTATATATACCTTTCTTTCCGTCGTCAAACGTAAGAAACAGAAGTGGCCTGGGCCAGCTGATACCGGTGACGAGGAGAATCACTGTCTTTGGAACATATTTATTCAATTCTTTTGGCGTTGAACTCTGTTCGTTGACTTTGGTACGCGCGGTTTGGTACAGAGATCTTTTCAGTTCCATACTGTATTGTAAGCGAGCTTGAATACCCAGCCGAAAGAGATGAATAATTACGTTCACGCAGCATTGTCGAACACACACGTGTACCATCATCGTGAACTCACGTAGCCTGTTTTCATCGACCAATTAAAAACATCTGTGTAATCTGGCAGTAGTGTGATATTTGTCAAATTGATTTATTCGTTCCCGTTTTACGTGCAACCACACACGTGTTCTTGTGTCGCGTATCAAAATGAGTCGAAGCTAGTGGATTTTCACTGGTGCAATTGTATTCTTTGGTGTATCTTTTTGTAAAAATGAAGATTACAAAGGATCGGTGAATCCCCGTCGATGAGTGCAATCGATCGAGAAACCAATACTTAATTTCTTCGTGTTGATCGTCTCGAAGTGATCTAGGCTACGTTTCTCTCGATCTATGTACAAGCGTGCACGCGCAGTTCTCTTTCTTTTTTTTTTTTTTTTTTTTTTTTTTTTTTCATTTCTTCTGTACAATTTTTTCTTCACTCGTTTCCTCTCTCTCTTTTTCTCGTTCACTCGCTCGATCCTCACGCAGGCAGTCTCACACATTTTTATTCACAATGTATTCCTCGCTAGCTCACACGTCTCACGATTTTTTCATCCTCGACGCATACACGTGACTCATTTTTTTTTTTCTTTCATGCGTCTGTATATGTGTACGCGCGCGTGTATGTGTGTTCGATAGTGTGTTTGTGTGTCAGATTTTGTGTAGTTACTGCGTATATGACTTAATTTAAGCTATGTTTTGAATAAGACCCGGCACAGCCGTTATCTTCACCGGTTCCTCGCGGCCACCGCGGCGACCAGCGCCGCGCCACGACCGCTGCCGTCTTCTGACAACATCAGGTCGAACTGCAAAATAACAATTGTTCATTAGAAATTATACATTAAAATTTTCCTACACACATATAAAAAATTTCCAATCTGACATATAGCTTTTGAATAAGATTTTTTCTAAATATCAATTCCTTGGCGATTTCAGCCATAGGACGTACTCTCACGAGGAAACTCTGCTTCAGCTAGGGGAAAAATCAGCGTAGAAAATCAACCTCTAAAGCCTTCACCTCTTACAATAAATGTTTATCATCAGAACCCAAAATGACATACATAGATGTAATAACCTCATTCCTCTCACCTTGTGACTCTGTAACTGGCTGATCTTTTCGGTCATAAGATCGTGAAAGTGTGGGTGAAATCTGTAGACCGAACCGTCGATGCCGACCGTGACGTTGTCCTCCCCCATTTTGTTGAGAAGCGTGGCGATACCGGCGCTGGCAAGATGGGCCGCCCTCCTCGAGACAACAGAGCAAACGTACCTAACGTTCTCGCAATCCTGATCGCTCACATTTCGCATACCCAATTCCGCTAGAACTTCACGGCAGTTTGTGTATTTACCTTTCGGGTCGCTGAAAGGATAACAGAGAAATTTTCTTGTCAATATATCATCCATCACTCTGATTCGTTTAATCGGATAATGCTCAAAAGAAGAGAAAGTCCTGTTACACCCACCAAGCGAAAGAAACGAAATAAGTGTTCTAGGTTTGCTAAATTGCTATAAATTTTTCATTAATTAACTAATAGCTATCAATACCTAGTTATACTTTGTATAAAAAAAGTTTTCCGAGATTACACGTCCGTATTGACGAAGAGATCGACTGTAATAGATGATCCTATAATTATTTTGAGCAGTTTAACTTCCAACTACAACTAAACATGTTAGTTTCAAAGTGGCGTAAATCCTTTTCTCCTTGTCTATCTGCAATTTATTTGTATTTATCTATGAGCATACTGTCGACTTTCTCACACCAGTTTCGAAATAAACGGTTCAAATCTGAAAATGTCTTAACAAAAATTATCCTTTTAACCGTCTAAGAGCTTCGACTATCCATGGCCCCATGACGAAAGCTTCAAAACCATACCCATGTAATCCCACTTACTTTTCAATTTCGGAAACGTATTTAGTGAAGAATTTCCCACGTTTCTTGAGATCGCTGGGGCACTTTCCGCCGAATAACAGGCCCGCGTCGACGACCTTCTCAAGCACCAACCTCGTCAGCTCGCCGGTGTACATTCCAGAGATCATTTTCTCGAACAGCTGTTTCTTCGGGTTGATCGAATTCTCGTCGATCGCCCGATCGAACTCCGTCAGCACAAAATCGAGAACTCCACGCTCGCCGAACGCGCCCCATTCGGTGTTGATCAGCATATGTTGCTTTTCGGGTACGAAGTTTCCGGGCACCGCGCACTCCACGTTCTTCGTCTTCTCCACGTAACAGGCGTTCGAGCCCGTTCCTAAATACAAGAAAATAAAAAGAAAAATGAAAATCCGTATATAAGACGAAGAAATATATAAATTTGAATAAGGACTACTCGAGATTTGCTTCTCGTTGTAAAAACGAAAGATCGAAAATTGTACTTTACAATTATCTAATTACGAGTTCGATAATTTTGTTTCTTTGTTCACCGTGTACCTACCGACGATCAATCCGATACGGCAATTCCTGTTTTTCCAAGCGCAAGACATTAATGTGCCGGTGGTGTCGTTCAAAATGGCGCACACGTCGATTTTGACGTCCTGTACAACAAACCAGAGTTTTTTATGTGCTGTGTTCCGCAATTACAAGCAACTATCGCGCGTGTAATGATTTATGTCATTGTATTCGACTTCCGTAGCTCGCTGTTAAATTACGCGGACGTTACATATTTAAACGAAATAACAAATATTATTATCAAGTTTCCTGTTATTTTCCAGCTTTAAATGATTTTCTTTAGACCAAAGTTATTCGAAGAGGCTACCTTTAAAAATTCATCGCTAGTACATACCGATAAATTTTAACAAGAACACCTACCATGTTAACATTCAAGGATACAGAAGTGAAATATCTCGAGAGATTTAAGAGCACCTCAGCCAATGGCTGTTGGTCGTATTAAGTCGTGTGATTTGCGAAGGCGGAGCCTATATAAATATTTCTAACCATTAAGCCCATGTTTTATCCAGGACTATTCTCTTAAAAAATTCATCGCTATAGTGACATATTCTTTTTATTATTTCCCTGCGTCTACCTGATTCAGTCCTGAACTGTAATAACCTCCCCAATTACTCCCTTCGTGTGCAATAACTAGACCGCGTATGTTTATGCAAATTCACTCTCTTACAGATCAATGTATATCTACAGAAACTTCATAGGAATATATTGTTCCTATCAAGATTTCTGTTTGTCAGAGCCAGACTAACCCAATTCCAATCCTTTTATTTTAAAGCCGAACAAATAAAAACATTTACTGATAGCATGTTTTCCCCCCTGAAAAATATACTACTTTTATTACTATAAAACTGTAGTTTCGTATAATTTATTAATCAAATTAATACTATTTCATTATGATCCGTTCAGTCCCATCGACCAAAAATGTAATAATAAACTCTAGTAATGACGTTTATGATACCACTTACGTTTCTTCTCGCGATCGCCTGTTCGAGAAGCGCGACGACATCCTCGTCCACCACACCGCTGCAATTAAAGCCCTTCGTCCATCTGACGAGGTATCCTTTCGTTAGTCCTTCCTGTGTCAACGGAAAGCTGAAGGTAAATCCCAAAGGCAGGACCTGGTCATGAAGATTCAGATCCTTAACGAACAGCGCCAAACACTGGGCTATGTGATCGAACAGCTGGGTACCGGTTCCCAGCATCAGACTCTGCGGTATCGCGTAGATCTTGCTCTTCATATCGAAGTTCATGCCGTCCAGAGTGATCAAGAGCACCCTGAAGTTCGTACCGCCCAAATCCAACGCCAGGAAGTTGCCCTTCTCTGCAAATGAGGGACAATTAAATTTTCCGCAAATCTCCCTTAACTCTCGTGCATTGGTTCAATAAATTCTTGCATTCCTTAGTCACTGACCTATGAACGGTTCATATAGATATCTAAACTACTGGTATCAAATTAATTTACAAGTTTCTCTGGCAAAGAACCTGAAAATTACAATCTGAATTTGAGTCACATTGACTCGAACAGTACGCGAGGATTAAATACGCCCCTATAATTTCAGGAACCATCCACAATCAATGAATACTTCTATAATAGTAATCATCTAGAAATCCTTCTATGAATCTTCTTGAAGCACACGAAACTGAAAAATTACGATTTCTTTTTCTCACCTGTGCCATCGGGAAGGTCTTGAACGTAGGTGGTGAAACACTTCACGACGGATTCCTTGTGCGTCTCCTTCGAGAGGCCCTTGTTTATCTCTCCGTCCAGCCTCTCCATGACCATCCGTAGCTGATCATCGGATAGGACGAGATCCTTGCAGATATCCTTGATCTGCGGAGACAAAACGTAAAATCTCGTTATCGATCGACGGCCACACGTAACGTGTGTTGTTACCACCAGGGGCGGAGGGGGGGACCTTGAACGGTTCTCCAATGTGCTATCTATACCCGACGTCGTCCACGCGCAGCTGCATGTGTTGCATAACTGCACTCAATAGGTACGGAGAACGAGACAGAGAGAGAGAAAGAGAAATATATATATCACTATTATTTTACGCGTTTCTGCGATACACGGTCAGTCCGAGGAGAGACTGATAAACAGCGTGGCTGGCGATTGACCCCGTTCGCCACGGTGAACTCCGTTCGCCCCATCCCGTGACGTACAAGGATTTTATTCATTTTCTTTTTTTTTCTCCCTCTCTTCGTTTGTCGACAGCGAAAGGGGTCTGGGCAATTAACGAGAGAGCGAATTATTGATTTTTATAACGCGGTCGGAAGCATCCGGTAACACTGTTACACAGCCATCTATAGACTTCTAACATTCTATAGTCGTTTCTAATAGATTTACCGACCGTTTCTGATCGATCGATTATAATTAACTTGTAGAACAGAAAATGAGAGTAGGGCGTTAATCGACATAATATCTGTGTATATCTGAGGTGCTCGCTATAATTTTGTAAAAAGAATTTTGTCTGAATTTGCATTCATCTTAGAATGCCCAACAAAGTATTGTGAAAATGTTTTCTTTTTATACAAATATAAATTTGTGCACTCGTACATCTGTGTAATTTGTGCAGAAATTATCTGAAACTTCGACGAAATCGAAGGTACTGTTATGGTGAACACTGAAGAAGGGAAACCATTTATTTCAGTAGAGTGTGCATGTTCAGATCAGACACTTAAAGCTATGAGTATCTCAGCAGCAAACTGTTTAGTTGTACTCAATTTTATTATCCCAGTGCATCTTGTATTTCAGTACAAAACCTGCATTTTATAATAATATATTTTTAACATAAAAATAAAATAATCGAAAAGATAGAAACAAGATACGAAATAACGTAACTGTGACTATTTCAATTCAACGAGTAATACGAGTATTCGTTTAAAAATATAGGAATTATAAAAAAAAAATAGCACAGAAAGAATTCTAAATTAGTGCTCCGTATTATTCTATTTTTAATTTTGTTCGTCAAGAAAATCTTTGATCAGAGAATGTTAGTTAGAAAACAGTAACGTTAAATGTGCATCATATACTTCGCCACTATCAAACCAATTACATTACTTCGTTCTGTATGGTTATCAGAGCAATTACATTACATTGTTCCATTATCAAAAGACCAGTAAGTAAGAAGATTGCGTTAAGTGTCAGAGTCCAGAAGAATCGCGTGCAACTATAGAGAGTGCGAAAGTGTGTCTAATGCAACGAAGACTTGCACGGAATCGAGTATACAGCCAACTGATAGTTACCGAATATCGATTTAATACGCGTTGATTCACATCACTCAGAAATGCAAAATATATTTTTAGACTCTAAAAACAGTCTTATGAATTCAAAATCGTCTGATTAAATGATTACTAAACTAGATTGTATGCATCTGCGACAAATGTAAGTATGCAAAGTATTCGCAATTAATCAAGAATTTTAAGGAAATCTAATCACATTTTTATGATACTTTTCACTTAATAAGAGTGTTACCGATTTCTATTTCGTTTTCCCTTTTGTAAGTTAGTACATAAAAAGATCAATTTGCATAAATGTCTGTGATTTAGTCATTACACTCAACAAACTAATGGATGTTTTAATCAGTAAATTACAAATATTTATGATAGATTTCTACTCGTCCTCAGCAATATTATTCTGTCGAGTAACGTCTGTTTCCCAGCAACATTGTCGTTAACTTTCCATACCATCCCGCAATTTCCAGTCGAAAAGCAATCATTCTGAAATGATCACTGGTTACCGCACAACGAGAAAACACTGGCGTCGCCATTCAAATTAAAGGTATCCTCTAATAACGGAGTGTCTAATAAGACACACAAAGCAATCGTGGTTTCTCATATCTAAGTGAGAGTGATCTTCCTTATCCGTGAGGAAACTACGCTGGTCAAAGCAATTGAAGAATCTATCACAATCACTGCTCAAAACAGAGAATCTACTGTAATCACCGTGTTCGTGTGGGATATAATTTTTCATATTTTTATTTTATAAAAACGAAACTAGGTATTAGTGTCGTAAATTTTCGATGTGTGATCGAAGGCTCCTCGGCACCGATCATTAAATATTTCATAAACTGATGGCCATATACAGTTGAAACAAATGTCATTCGCTTCAAAATTCTAAACTTTATTACTGTGCTAAACTTCATTAAAAAGTCAGTGTTACACCTAGGAATCTCTCCTTGTTAGTGTCGAAGAGCCTTCGAATACTCACCGAGAATTTACTGTATATTGAAGATAATTGTTCCAGTTGGATTCGCAGCTGTGTCGTTTCAACTTTACGCGTCCAATGCATGAACACCGTTGACATTTTTCCTTATAGACGACCGTTTATGCAAAACTGCGACAGTTCCGCTCGAGACTTCGCGAAAACGTTTGTGGAACGAGCCATCGAATGTAAACATATTTCCTCTCGTTTCTATCGCGCGGGGCTCGAGATACCATGCCTGATGCCGAGGAAATAACTGATGAATAATAGTAAACATGTTTTCATGAGATCGTACATCCGTGAAATTTATGGAGAAAAAATTGACACCCTTAACGACGCAAGTCGCCTTGTTATGTCTCCGTGAGTTGTAACGAGTGGTTTTATTTTTTGGAATTTTCTACGATACGGGGATTACCAGTTGACGCGTGCAGAAAGAGAAAATATTGGAGGGTATAATCTTTGCATTAAATGTATTGATAGCAGATTCGATTGATTTTTAATATTGTGAAACGAAAATGTTAAAACAATTTAACATAGAATTATTTGTGTATGCGATAAATGTATTAGATGGTGGTACAACCAGGTAGGGGTGATTCTATGTGAAAAAATAAGTCAAAAATGCAGAGTACGATTTATTTATTTGAGACTTCGTTTTCAAGAAAATCGTCTTTCAAAATCTGATATCAATTGAATAGGACTTGACTAGCGCGTCTGATCATTGCAGTCTGTTTCTACTTTCTACGGTGACGATTAAACGCGTGTCAGATTAATTTTCAAAGTCGACTTCTCCGAAAACAAAGCCTCGTATGAAAAATTATATGCAACATTTTCGATGTTCTAATTAAGATAATAATTTTTAACATAAATAAATCATTTTAAGGAAACGGGAATAAATAATGATACGTCGAATTTCTATCGTGGTAGATCCTCAGAGGGCTCCTATTTTCTCAATGATTCAAACAGATGTTTACAGAAATATTATACACAGTTTATGGAGGCAATTATGCAGAATTTGTTGAAACTTGAGCTTTTTTATTTCACGGAGGTGTCGAAGTCGCGGAAAACTGGCAACAAAAGAAACCGACCGACCCAATTTGGGTCACGACACGTTGGCCCGGTGGGCCGGATCGATAATCTCGTCGTAAACAGTTGTTCCACACACACACACACGCGCGCGCGCACATACACGTGTGCAAACATTTTTGGTAGAAATGAACCATGGAACAACAACGTGTACGCATTTTCTCCGGAAAACGTACGCACGTTAATCAACGATAGAACCTTGCACGTTTGACGAATGATATTCGCTTATTATTCCGTCACGATTTGCGTCAACGTGGATCGATACAGGAATCAATAAAAGCGGCTTTATTTCCATCGCCCATCGCTACGTAGGCCGCCGTTCATAAGTCATCGAACACTTGGCTGCCTCCAAAGAGAATATGAATTTTAATTCGTTCGACAGTCTGTGATCGAGAGCACACCGAAGAATCGAAATATGAATATCTCAATTATATATGTATGTAAATATATTTGTACAAAAAGAATTAACTGCAATACAATTGCAAGATCTTTTAAAAATTCTTTATACGAATGAAAATATTTTAACGGGGTTGACATTTTCCCATACTCCATCGATCTTAACGTCATTAGACAAGAAAATAAAGAAATAATGTATGCAAAATCAAAGAAGGAAAATTATTCAATTACTGGAATGCAATTAATGTGGAACTGTTTACGATGATCACTGACAGATCGCCATGATTGATTCGAGGAGATTACTTCGAACAGATAATACAACATACTTCTCCGTGACGCAAAGTGGTTATTACATTCTAGGTCTATTTCATAATCTAAGTAATTTCGTGATATCGATTCAACTTTAATGCTATTATATCGACTAATGCATGTGTTCAATGACTTTACGAACCGACTCAATCTGGCAACCGGTTTCGATCGGCCTGATCGAATGTGGAGCAAGTATTAATAACGGAGGCGTCATAGAAAGAAAGAAATGTAGAACGACCCGCCGTCGGCGATGAGCAATTACAGCTGTCACATGCTCGGAAAATTTAATAGATAATCGAGTGGCATTCCCCGTCCGGGACATCTCCTTATCCTTCGTTCGAAGGAGGAGAGAAAGGAGGAAGAACTGTTTTAAAGGTCGCTCGCCTTTTCTACCAGTTCCTCGAAAGTGAAGGTTACCTTCGAATCTGATCGGACACGAGACCAAAGATTCGTAGACTTTGAAATTGTAAACATTGGAAATGTAGATTTTGAAAATGTTGACATTGAAAATCTAGACATTGAAAATATAGAGACTGCAAATGAAGGTATTGAAAATGTAGACTTTGAAAATGTAAACATTGGAAATGTAGATTTTGAAAATGTTGACATTGAAAATATAGAGACTGCAAATGAAGGTATTGAAAATGTAAACATTGGAAATGTAACTTTTGAAAATGTTGACATTGAAAATCTAGACATTGAAAATATAGAGACTGCAAACGAAGGTATTGAAAATGTAGAGTAAACATTTAGACACTGACTTTTTTTATTCTGTTCCTAATTTTGTCTGACAGGAGCATATCATGGCCTGGATCAGGCCTTATCTACTTAAAATAAAGATTTTTTCTATGTTCGAAGAACCAGACCAGTCATCATCGGAATTGTAATTCATTGTAAGACCATAGTTATATACTTCATTTTCCATATGAATTTACAAATTTAGTAAATTGTACGTAAGGATTCGAATAAGAGAATCACAGTAGAAATAAAAATTGGAGCGGAGGAATGTCCTTTTTTCTTTTTATAACTTTATATCTGTTCTAGATTCTAGATCCTATTGCGCTACTTTATACTGAATTCTAATTCTCTTATGTTTCTAGCAATAATGAATTGATATTCTAACTTTGGCCTTCCGAGTGAAAATATAGAAGGTCTTGATTTCAAGGGAACAGGGTCAGTTTTTTCGCTTCTCGAATACAATGCAGGTTTTATATTTCTGGTGTCTATAAAAGGAATCATTATGCAATGGGTGAATTACTGGTTATTTCATCAAAAACATGAGGAGTCACGATTCGAATGAAACAGAACATTTTTAGCCTCTCTGTTCTCTACTGGATCCCCTATTCCTCGAACGCAGCAGACAATTTACTACCTCGAAGTAATAGAATTCTGTTTCTACTCTGTAATTCGTACCCACGAGTCCACAGTTCGACAATGCAATTCAAGTTCATCGATCACGAGAAGATCGAGAGACCCACCCGCGATTCCGTTTGTAGCGAACAAAGATAGATCCTCTTCGATATTCCGTTGTCTAAATTTAGTTCGGCATTTATATCCCTGCAATCTTTGGAACCTGTTATTCCGGACATCGAAATGGGATTCAAGTTCGTGACTTCCACGAAACCATTCGGCCTATTACAATCCAGTCATCTCCTAGTAGTACTTTAGTTTTCCTCGCGTTCTCTCGTTAGTCCACCGATCGCGTATTCGATCACGTGTTTTTCCTCGGCGACGTTCACTTCTCTCGGTTCGCGTTAAATCGTGAAAACTAATAAGCATGCATACTCGGGCTGTCAAGTTCAAGTATAATGTAACAGTTCCTTTAGTTCAATGTGAATTACGCTCGACAAGGTTCTGTACGCGAAGCAGTTATGAGAACGGTGATAATTCTCACGCGAGAACCGTTTGTTAGATCTTTTCCTGTGCACCCGACAGAATAACCACCAAAGAGAAACGAACTGCTGCTTCTTGCAATGAATTTTTACCAGTGCGATTACACCGTGGAAAATCAAATCAATGATATAGATGAAGGTTGTCAAATATCGAACACTACTGCAATTTGTCATCTGTTAGCAATTTGCACCGTATGGGTAGACAATATGCGTTGCTTATACAGCAAATTAATTAACGCAACCACCTCTATCATACAGCACAAATTACAGTAGTGGCCCAACTTGGGCGATGGTCCAAATTCTTCAATCTTCCCCATACGTTCAATCCATTTCCTGGATCCATTCTCTTTCTACACAAAGATTCCAACTACAACTTCTTATACTTCTGACCCAGTAGTCCGACCCAGACCTCTGTTACATCATTGATCCCTGTGTAAAAACGAAATTAATATCCATACAAATGCGAATTATTGTATATTCATCGTTTCCATCGGGCACATTAGAACGAAGAAGCCAATTTTCGGTGCCTGTTCAAGGCAACCCAAGACCCTTCTATTTCAGTCCACGAGTCCCGTGAATTCACACCGTTGAACTTTGGGTCGTTCGAAAATCGTTTCTGTTTCCTCGTTCTATAAATGTTAATTAGACGATTAGTAATCAATTCGCGGCATTTTACTGTCTAATCAGACGCAAACCGGCGCGGTCGTTGCGTCACTCATCGCAACGAACTTTCAAGGCCATCGTCGGATATTCGCCAGGTGAAAAGCACCGCCGAAGCTTGGGAAAGGGAGTCACCGCTGTCGTGGGTCGGTGCGTTTCGAATTTCCCGCCAATTCCGCGGGCGATCCCTTTCTCCCGTCGGTGTGGCATTGATCTGGCCAGTGACGTAGCCGACACACCCGCCCGCCAGCCAATAGGACCGTTTTATGAATGAATGCTATAGTACATGCACATGACGACGGCAGGGGGAACAGGCGAAAGAAAACGTGTGGTGAGTATGTGTACGTATGTGCAAAGGCCGATGCACAGTGATTTCGGTCTCTCTGATGCACGTGGCGAAATGCACGGACCCGACGAACCATCGTGCGCGCGTATGCTTTTATGCAATACTCCCGTATGCAAATGTATGCATGGCCGGGATATCGAGTACCGAAGTGCTTCCCGAGCCCAAGGACTTCGCGTGTCGATGGACGTAATGGTGTTTAACGAACTCTGAAAAAACATTGTCTCGATTAGCTCGCGAAGGAGTCCTTTTAGTGGCTGGTACAATCTTAAAATTTGAATCTGAATGAGGATAGCTAGCTTCAGGCTGTAGAAAAATATCAGTAGACATAAATACGAAACCTAATGTCACGAGTTCACTTGTATCTTGGCCCCCAAACCAACCGCCTTCGAATACAGTTTAACGTTTCTTATGGACCAGCCATGAATAACCTTTATTTAGACGTAGTCCAGGGACGACTTTTTCGGAATTACTATTCACGTTGAGAACGATCCGTATCTATATGATCATTGGCTAAACTGGTCGTACAATGGGCCTAGTCGAAGTGTCAAGGACGTGTGTGTGTATGACACAGGCGAAAACATTTCTGTGAGACATACGACGACCTCGTCACGTCAGATGATCGCGTGTTATCTGGTACGGGCCCCTGGATACCATTCCCTCCACGATCATTGGTTGGTAATAACCGTTGGGGACCGGTTACGCACGTGTATCGATGCAACACGTTGGCACCGAGCTCTCGAGGGTTCGAATTATTGATTCGAACCGTTTTTACACGAAAGTAGGGGATCGATTCTCCTCCGACGTTACCTCGTGAAAAGAGGAATTGGAACGGGTCGTAGCACCGTTTCGAACGAACCAGGTCGCTCTCTAGAGAGACTGTGGGCCGTCTATGTGTAAAATCACGTTCCGTCTAGCCGTATCACCGTGACGAACGAGAATTAAATCGTTATCGATTGCGCGTTTCGCGGAAGAACGAGCCTCCTTATCGTTAACTTCTGGAAACCCCAGGATTCGCCCGATGCGCCGTTCCGTCCAAGCCTTATCTCACATTTTTCTTTTTCTTTATACCAGTGGACTAACGCAATAATTATGCCAACGTTTATCGACCCTTGATATGCACATTGACACTCGCGGGGGGAAAACCATCCATCGAGCCGTGTGCCACATTTTCTGCTTCTTGTCCACCTCACCGGAACGTCGCACAATCGATACAAGGGAAACGTGGACATCGATGTGTCCCGTTTCCTTCCATAACAGAAGCCCACCAGATCCTCATAACCGGCACACCAACGAGAGAACGGACACGTTGCAACGGATATTTCAACACTCAGCCGTGCCACCTCGAAACCCCTCCCGATGATCCTGACATTCCGCACTGTCTCCTCCGTGTCACATCTTGGACGATGCCTTCCAATTAGCTACCCAACGGATGACAGACATACATATATACATAATACAATGGAACACACCGTAGAGCACGTTTTTCAAATCGAACGAAACATCATCATCCCCTGCATGTTGTGTCGCTTTCTTTCACCCACACACACACACACACATGAGAGTAACACGAGAGGGCTCAGGGCGATTCGTGCCTAATCCTCTTTGTCTAGTGTTACTATCCTCCTTTCTGCAGCGGACACAACCGTTGGAAGAGGAAAAAAAAAACAGAAACGTACACGTTAACGGAATTCCAGGCTCGCGAACGCTTACACGTCGTAAACGATCTTGCCACGGTCTCTCTCACCTCCTGCTTGATCATCATGTCACTGGTGGACAACGTCGTCGTCTTCATCGCCCTCCCCTCGTCGTTACGCCCCGAGCTGCGACCCTCCAGTAGCTTCGTGTTTGACGCTGCGTTCCCGTGCACTGCACGCTGCCGTGGTTAAATGGGGGTTGATTGTCCTGTGTATAATATCCCGTTTCCAGCGATGCAGTCTTATTTTTTTTTGTTATTTTTTTTTTTTCGGTAGAAACGACTACTGCGCAATCCAGTTTCTCTGTCACTCTATCTCTCTCTCGCACTCTCCTGGTACGTCCACGTTCCTCCTCGACGGTGATTCCCTCGCGGAGAGACGTCTGCGGTTTGGTGGAGTTATCCACTGGCGCGGCGTCTATGGAGAAGAGAGCACGGAAAACTGTGCATGTACACAACGGGTCCACTGTGTTCACCTCGAGCAGTCCCACGTACGATTCAACGGGACACCAGATCACCTCACGAGTTTTATATCGCGACTGCTCGCACTGAGGCGCCTGTTCCACGCGCGCGTACCTACACTCCCATGGATGGGAACGTGCGCTGGTCCCCGCGCGCGCGGCGCTAGAGTGGTGGGGAGGAAGGAGGCCATGAAAGAGACGAACGGCCCACTGACGGATCTACGACTGTACTCCCTTACCGATCGAGACACGGGAATTTCGTACGCCACACGTTTTGAATAAAACTTCGGCTATGTACACTCGCGAGCAAACTCGGTTTCCACTAGAGGAATAAAAAGCGGCGTTGAAAAAAAGTCTTCTACCACTTGGTAAATGTATTCCAGGTACAGAAATAAATGGTAAATCGAATGTTAATTTGGCATAAATTTCAGTAATTCCAAATACCAACAGGTAGGAGCATGGTAGGAGGCTCTTCCCCTACATTACTTTTTCCCCTAGCCGAGTTTGCTCGTCGGTATATACTCGCGAGCAAACTCGGTTTCCACTAGCGAAAAATGTGGCGTAGAGGAAGAGCCTTCCAGTACTTACAAAATTATTTCAAGCACGGAAATAAATGTTAAACTGAATATTAATTTGGTAGTCAATTAAATGGTAGGAGGCCTTTCGCCTACCTTACATTTTCTCCTAACGGAAGCCGAGTTTGCTCGTCGGTGTACAGCTGGATTGCCGTTTTTCTGTGGGGATCTGTCTGTACTAGGACGATTAAGGGGTTACATATACCTTCTGGTAAATAAGAGGGAAAATTTAAAAATTTGATTGTATGTGCAGAATTATTGTTTATTAAGTATTTAACATATTGTATGTTATTTCCTTAGTAATTTCTGAAAATTTGAGCTGTATATCTATCAACAGAAGAAGAAGATTGCCATTTAAAAACGTTTTACACGAAATCCAGTTTTCAAAATTGGTAGCAGAAGTATTTCATTAGAGTTGAATAATCAAGAATTGTTCATTCTGAAATTTTGTATTTAGATACCTTCTTTGTAACAAACGGAATTTCAAAAGTTCATCTACTAAAAATGCAGCCCAGAAGTTCATTAGTCTCTAAGAATTGCAGAATTATTATGTTAACCAGCTTCATCTAGATATTGCGTGGGATGACTCATGTAAGTATAGTAACGAAGTTTAATTGGTTCTGCAGCATCGTGGAAATTTTATTGGAGTTTTGAAATATTTGGCGATGAACTATCGGCTAACTGAGATTACAATTTTCAGGGAAATATTTGATATCCCCAGTTACCGAACAAAATTGGAGTATGATAACAACAATTAAGCACAGACGAGTAAAGTATGCAGTTTCCGTTGGATTTATTTTTTCCTTGCATTTCCAACCAATTTCCTGTTGGTACTCCAAAAGGATTACAGACTGCGATAAAAAAAATCAAGCGATACCGTATCTCGAATCCATTAATTTGGAGATTCGTACTATCTGATAAGACCGGATATATATTTGACAGAATTATTCCTTTGTCGAAGCTACATTCCTGTTCAAGCCGGTTTCAAACAGGCATTACTAACACACTACCAATATCTAAAATACTAAGCATTGATCCAAATTGTCATACATTATCTCACGTATTACCATCTATTATTTTTCTGTCACATACAAACAAAAAATACAAAAATCACAATGCAGATATAATAAAAATTGAAGCCGTGCTTCTTTTTATACATCAGTAAAATTTGTTTAAAATTTCACAATATTTATTCAATATTTTCTGCAAGCAGTATTGTTTATTATTATTAAAAAGGAAAGTTATGACAATACTCCAGGTTCTTCGTTGTGTGCTACAGGACTGAGTTGTGCCGTGGTAGTGGGGCGGAGCAAAGGGTAGGGGATCACAGTGGGGTTTTCCCCGTGTTCGACGCACACTACTGTGTATGTGCGAAGAAACTGGGGGCTCGACCTGTCAAGGGCGAAAAGGTCATTCGATTCCACGGTGACGAATTTGGCGAAAGGGTTGCATCACGCGATAATACGACACGCAAGATCTGATTGGTTTATGCCTCTGATTGCATTTCTGTATGCACTTGCTAACACTTGAATTTGCTTCCTGTATATTTTGTATATCTTTAAAAGTGTTGTTATCTCTTAAACTTTTCCATGAACCACGCTCAAATTTTTATCTGTTCGTCCTGCCATTTTTTCTTTCGCGGTCTAGATAAAACGTACAATTGAGAAGTTTAATGATGCTATAAAACAATCAGTAAAGCGTCGTTCACAGTGCCGATAAGTGGCACTTATTTATGAGCAGATGCAGCTAAGTTGTTTGCTGCACCGCGAAATAGAACAACGAGGAAGATCTTAGAGCCCATTGTTATATATCTCTCAGAATTGTCAAGATTACTTGCGTTTGATTTTACAATTAAATTGTAATTGATCGAGCGAGTACAAGTTAACCGCGATTTCATCATATTCGTGTCCACGTTATTGTTATTACAATTGTTATCGTCATTTTCTTATTCACCAAACAAAGTTTAATAACAATTTTAACGAATCCCCATTATTTCATTGCGAATCACTCCAATCTAAAAAAAACAACCAATCAGCATAACATTGTATATTCTCTCCTAATAGAATCCTAAGATTTAGAAGCTTTAGATTATTTGATTCCTAAAGAATAAAATCGTAACATCAACTATTTAATTACAATATTGCAGGGACCATTAAAAATAAACTTCAAAAATATCCCATGAGAACAACATTAAATATTCCCTAATCACAGAACCTTTATCAATTCAATATGAGTATTTATATTCTATTTATGTCACTATCATTTCAGATGAATCGCCACGAATAAAGTACTCAGTCGAGCTATTAATTATAGATCCTACGATCGTTAATGCAAACCAGTGTCTTTGCACCACGCTTATTTCTCCGGAGACTCTTGTCTCTGTGGAGCACGCGACATTCCGTCTATTGTGTTCGTCGTGATATGACTTACGCGTTCTTCCGTTGCTTGTGTATCACGATCATAAACACTGGAGATCGAACGATTCCCGTTCGATTGAATCAGATACCCGATATCGATCCGAACGACAACTGTTTGAATTGCACACGATCGTGCTTGAGAATCGTTCGCCAGGCAACAAGCACGAAGAAATTCCTTCGAGTCACGATTATTACCGGTTTCTTCATGGAATCGAACGTGAGCGATAGGAAGCGAGTGTTAATTACTCGCATCGCGTTGTTTCACCTTGGCGAGGCTGAGAAAAAAAAACTTTCGGAACGGTAACAAGATTTCGTTCGAATGTATTCAACTGGCGAACTACTGTTTTAATGAAATAACGATTTCAATGGCGTTTGTTTTTTCTATTCTGGAACAGTGGTCGTGAAAAAAAGTCGATTATACAACTTTATACATACACTGCGAATGTCCATGTAAATTTATTCGTCGGAGAAATTGCATTGAAAGCTTTATTGTGTTAATAATAGCATGACTGTTATTAAACTGTAGCAAAATCTAATTTTACTGTGTTTTGCTAATTATTTAACTACCAGCATTGAGTCTATACTAAACTAAATTGCATAATATAGTGTACCATAAAATGTATAGTAAGGTAAAAATCAACATGAATTCGTTAAATAAGAAATCTGCAATCCGTTATTTTGATAAGTTTGGTAGTTCTACTATTAAGGACTGTAATCGCATAATCTATAAAAATGATTTAATTTTATGCAATTTCATGATGAAATCTTCGGCTCGGGTTTAGCTTCGCGGTATTCAGCTGCGCTCGTTGAACGCAGAATGAGCTGTGAATTTCGTCAGACAATCATTGAAAAATCAATACAGTCATTTGTGATAGAATAAAAAAATATATACATATTACTGAAGGATTTCGAAACGGTGTAATTGTTCTTTTCTTTTTGTACGTTATTATAAAACATGTTTGCAAACGCAATTTTTAGAATTACAGAATGTGCTGAGGACTCACTAGATAGATTTATTTTTTGTTACGTTAAATAAGAAATAAATATGACAACGTGGTGCTGAATACTGTAAACCTCTTGCATTATCTATCCATCGGTATTCTGTGCCTTGTGTAATCGTGTAAGAGATCGTTAAGAAACGTGTGTGCTCAAAGTTTCAGCCTCTAAATTTTTGCAATACATCACACAGGTTACGTAAAAAAATATGTTTACTCTCTGAAATTCTTCTTTGAAAAGATCGTTAAAATCTTTCCAGTTCCCTGTATGTCATAGTAAAATTTAAACAGAATTCTTACAAAATAGAATTTTTCAAACTCCGTTAGCGAACAAGATACCCATTTTTAATCAGAGGTTTTAGACAGTTTTTAAACCCTCAATGAAGACAAAAGGAGGAAGTGTCTTTTATAAATAGAACACATCGTGACGCAGCACGAAATGGGCGGCAGCTCGAAATGTGTTACCGATCTGCTCGATGATATTACATCCGTTTAATGATGAAACCGGCGAACCGTGCGTGCGCAATGTCGGGATGCTTAAGGGATGACGCAACGACCAGACGCGTTCTCAACGAGGGAATGAAAGTCGTCGTGTGATTGGTCCGTTCCGAGGGCTCGAACGGTCGATCCCTCTTGCTTTGACGTCATCAACGTATTCTATGGAATGCACAGCAGCCGCCTCCGTAAGGATACGTGACTTTTTCAATGGATAGTCGCCCGAACCGATATAACCCGAAGACGCGGGAACGCCTCAAGGCAAATATCATGAAATTTTTATATATTTTTTAATATATCACTCATTATCAGAAACGCTATTTTAATAAAAATGAAATATAGTTCAGTTTTATTTCTCTGCAGACGACTGGACTGCAGACATTTGCGACAATTTTAATTAAAAATTGATATCAATCGAAACAGTTTAGTATACAATTTTTAATGTCGATTTGTGGATTGATATTAAGTTTGAATTCCATCCAAGAGTGTTTCCTTTAAAATTAGATAATTTATAGTCTTCTTTTTCTTTAATGATGTATTGTAAAACAATGGTCTTTTTTGTTTTACAATATCGTAATTGTTGAGAAATTTTAAGACCGTCAATTTTATATTTGTACAAAAAGAAATTTCGAAACTTCGTGGAACTCGCAGTTCTCGATAATAAATTGAAATAGTCACGATTGAAGAAAAAAAACAATTTTGCAATAAATAATTATCAGTTATTGGTGATAAATGTTACGCGGCGATATTATCTGACTTTTCGAGTTTCTACGTCTTAGAGGGATTTACAGGAAAGCTCGATCGTATTGCGGTTAAGAGCTGAAAATGATAAGTCCGTCTGTTATTCAATCACGAAGCAAAAATTCTTTTGATTCGCGCGATAAAAAGATTTAAAAGCATTAAGCGCTTTCGTTTTAGTGGTTGTCGGCATGCTTGTGAATGTACTATTGACATGAATAGCAAATACGAGCGGTCAACTTCATTATCATAACTAAACTATGAAACGATATTGATAACAGAGTTTGATAAACTATATCATGTTAATCCAAATAGTATTACAAATAGGTACTAGCAAATTTTATCTTAGGAATTTGTCTAAACGACAAAAGAACAATTTTAATTTCTCCGTTATCTAATTTAAACGGTCTATAATAAAATATTCATAAATTTTCCCACTTAAAATGTATAAACAACTAATTATATTTTCTATTGACTCATTGGTATCGATGTGACCACGTCACCTATGCAGAGAAGTTTCTTTTGAGCATTGCGTGTACTGAGTGGACCAAAAGTCAAATCGTATCTGTCAACAACTTGTATTTTTCTAATTATTATATATACGGTGTAACGAACACATTCAAACATAGAGGCGTATATTTTTATGCTTGTACCATATTACTCATTTAAGCAGCGTTTTCAACGCTAAATAAGCGCAACACGTCATCCTGTTTTTCTTCATGTCGTAGAGACACTACGTAATTGTCAAACGTCGCCGGTAATAATAATTTTTCCGCGTGACCATCGACGCAAAAATAATGTTTCACTGAAACAGGCACGCGTTTCAGTCGTTTTATATTCCGGGAACGAGTTTCGTCACCGTTCAACCATCGAAGAATGTGATCGTTGAACCGAAACGTGAGGAAGCTCACGCGCGTTTTAGTTCCCCTGTACGAACGTGTGCGACGAGTATTTAAGGCGAATTCACATTGTTCAATTTGATTGATTCAATGGAATTGAAAGGAAAGTGAACAGTGTAAGTTACCATTTAATCGACGTGTTCGACCAAATGGTAATGTACACTGTTCACTTTGTGTTCAATTTCATTAAATCAACCAAAGTGAACCATGTATAATCGCCTTTAGAAACAAAAAGCAAAGCATTCAAGTCTCTGGCTAATCCGACAAGCCACGAGTACACGTTAAAAAGTATTTATAAAATCAGTAATTATAATTCTTAATACATTTACATAAGATACTCTACACTGAAGCATGTTTTTCTGCAGGAAGAAGGTAAAATGAAGAAACTAATCAGACTTTCCACTTCCTGTTTATCCTTTATTTTTGTTTGATTGAAAAAGTAGATATTGTACGACTGATAGTAATAGATTGATCGGAATAAGATTTTAATCGAAAGTTTAAAACAAGTACGGAAAAGTTTTAATTACTGCACGTTTTACCATTTTGACGTTTCCAATGTAATTAATATTTTGATAGATGTATCAGGTTATCGCAATCTCTTCTAAAATCGTGAATATAATTATGAACAGATGGTGTATTAACTGGTGGATTAGATATGTTCCAGAGTGTTTTTATCAACTCACGGACTTTGGTAATCCCCTCGCACATATTCTTATCTTTATTTTGCATAAATTCTTTTCTTATTTAATTGTAAAATAAATTTTTTTATATTCAATTCGAACTGTCAGTCAGTGGCATGGTTTTGTGTAATAATCAATTATACTGTGGAGTTTCTCGTATAGTTCTTGTGATACAGTTAGTGAAGAAAAATCCCAAACAAAAATCAATGATTCTATAGATGTCTTTTTTTGGTTAATTAGACATTTTCCAATTTATTGTGTTTATGAAAAGAAATACTGTGAAAGAAACTTGGGAGCTAAATTCATTTTAACGTAGCCAGATTATCAGTCAGGGAGAGGAGAATTGATTTTACTGTAAATTTCATAATATTAGTTAATATCATATATTTCTTCTCTAATGGGAAAAATCGAGTTTTTCCCTCTAGAGGGTAAATGCCTTTACCTGCCCTCACCCCCAGCTACGTCCAGGTATTTATCCTTACTACCTCAACAATTACTACAAATTTTTCTGTATTTTCATTATCCTCTCCTACACAATCAATATTTGTCTTTTCGCTGTGTCTATCATTTTTTTTTCGTCTTACAGTCACCTCTCGCAAATCTGCGAAAAGGTTCAGTCAGTCATTCGGTGTTGATCAGTTGCGAAGACAACACTTTACTCTGTCACGCGTACGATCCTTCTTGTTGTTAAATTATTTGTTAAACAAATCGAGTGTTGTTAACCAGTATTATTCAGTGACACAACGAACACCTCAAGCTTGTAAGGTAAATATCCCGATTGGCAATCTCACTGGAGACTAATTCTACTTTTCGTGACTTTAATAGCGACAGATAAAGTAATACGATTATCAAACTGTTGAAAAATTAACAGTATCAGTGTTCTTTCTATTTATTAATTGGTTTGGATTTATATCACTGCCACTATTTTAGAGTATTGTCGCGTTCATGTCAGTCAAAATGATTCTTGCCGTTTATACTCACATGATATATGGGCTTGTGCGGCAAGAATTTTACGAGCAATCTTTACGAGCCCATAATTAAAGACGGAGTAATGGTCCAAGAGAAATCGGAGCAAGGATTTGCATGAATTTCACCTGGAGGCACTGAACGAACACCTTAACATCCATAACGTGCCCAAGCTCACGTAACAGTCTCCTTGAGATCGTATAGACATGGACGTGCCTGGTTCGGCATATACCTACTTGTGGCCCTGTTGATGAAAGGCTCTTCTGGTTTTAAGAAATTTCGCTTTTCATCAGTGTCAACGCCTCTGAAATTCTTATATTGTTTAGAACAAATATTCAAATGATATTATTTGAAATATTATTTCAAATAGCTAAAATGTTATTTTATTTCATGATTTTCATTCCCGATGAACTTTATTTTAATTATCTCGCGTCAAGATTTAGAAATACTGATTAATTATATTACCAAGATAATTATTATTGTGCTATCTTTGCACCGGAATTTACGTAAGATCCGTGTAGTTGATACAAGAAGTCAACGTGCAAAACGCTGCAAGTTCGCTGTTTTCGAACTGAAAAAAAATACAATCGACAATAATCGAATAAAAATCGATCGAAGCAGACGGATACTTGAAATACTACGTGCTGGGAATGAAATTCTGATTACGTCAGAAAAGCGTCCTTTGGACACCGTTTGTAAATGATTAGACCGAAAATTTCGCAGATTGATGTCGCGCAGAGATTACCAACGTCGCCGAAGATAGTATCTCGAACTGATAATGCAGAAGTGTAGTGGGAGGTATGGGTGTATTATCTTTCATTATTAAAAACTCGATGAATAGATATTTCATGGAATCTGTTACTACTGATAATTAATTCTATGGAAATTCCTGTTGATACCATGATTTAAATCGAATCACGAATTCTATGCTTCATATCATTATTTCTGTTTCTATTTCAATTCAAAGTTCGTCCTAATAAAAGAATATTTTCTCACGTTTTCATTTTGATATTCGGATGGAATGCCACCAATGTGGAAATTTACGCTTTGATCACGTAGTAACGTTGTCATTCTCTTGACACTGGCAGCAGGTAGGACGTTCGTCGGTTTCCCTATGAGCGTTGTGCAAATATCAAATATACTTATACATAGCTCTCCGATTACCATTCCCGGAAAACGATTTACCGCTGCAGACTACGCGAGATTGATTTTCAGGTAATTATCACGATTCACGAGTTAAGAGTAGTTGGGATGACTTGTTTTTGTTTTCAATATGATGATACTCGAATAGAACTTCGATCGAAGGGTATTTGATTTTACTGTTTTTTTTTTTAATTCCCCTATACTATTTGTATTTGTTTATTCGATTCAGTTCAACGGTAATTTTAACTTGAACATAGAAATGTTATCAGGATCCAGGTCTAGATTGCTTCTACATTAGGTTTGTGCTCGACTCCATTTAAGTGTACAATAAAATTTTGTCATACCTAGAGTCGATCTAGATTTGGCAAATTTTGAACCAATTTGGTCTATGTTTGGAAAATTGTGAATCTACATTTAGTCCAGTTTAGCTCTACATGTGGTCTGCATTTGGTCCTGTACAGGTTCAGATAACATCAACATTTGGTCCAGGTACAAGTAAACATTCAAACATTGAAGTTCCAAAGAGACGACATCTCAATATTCAGGATTGCCTCTTGTAAAGTCCGTTTACCAAATGCATCAAAGAATCGTTTACTGTTCCGATACAGGGTCACACAAGAGTTTTATCGCGTATCTCTTGTTTCGCGTAAGCAAACACAGAGATTTATGTAGCGTGCCGATCTATCACGTGGTCCGTACGGGTGCATTGGATTGAATGCATATCGAGGACATGTTACCGACCGGCGTAATTCGTTGTAACGTGTCTGATGCGGTGCAATTGGTTCCCCCGATGTTTGACTTCTCTTAACCAGAGTCAAATTGGTGAACCCCTAACCGTGTCTCTCGTAGAAGACCAGGCGACGTAATAATGGATATTATTCATCCCGCTGTCAATAATCACGATCGACATATAGATAACAGAACGCATTCTAGAATGGTCTGAATGCATTTAAACGGAGGTTCTTAACCCATCTGTGTCATCGATCAACGCTCTGTAGACAATACGTTGCAAATTAAGGATTGGGCTACGATAAAGTTAAGTTTTGGACATAGATTATACAAAATAGTATAATTCATTTTTACTCTGTTTAAATTGTTGTTTCTCTAATGTCGAAGAAGTTTCAATAGAACTTGCAAATAGAATACTGCAACAAATTAACTGTTCCCCTATGTAATTCATTTTATTGCTACGTTAGATAGCACCTTAAAACGAATCGTGTATTCTTGCAGTGTAGCAATAAAAGAAAGAAGCCGCGGTAATAATATCCATTCATAAAAGTAACGTCAAATGTACCAATCGCTAAATCGCCCGTTTTCTGCGCAACGACGTAGTAATTGAATCGAATTCGCATTAAAACACAGCGAAAACTGCTGTTACATGAATGATCGATGTTTAGACTATCCGTGCTCTCACGATAACTGCTGTCTCATAAATCTTCCCTGCAGCCAGTTGGACTAATTAACACCGAACAGAGGGAGAAAGAGAGATGTTTCGTCTTGCGGCGATAAACATGTCGCGTGAACGCAACTCTCGTCTGTTTTATTGCGATTCTCCTTTTCTGTGGAGAGACTGTAATATGCGATAATTAATAATTACGAATACGCGTTATCGTTTCCGCGGGCTTCATCCGAGAGTTAATCCCCCTCGTTACGAGTGTATGTAATGTGTCGACTTTATCTGAGATCAACATGCAGACGCGCCACGGACATTTCAGTGAATTAAGGGAGCCGATTTATCGCGGCGAGCCTATTATCTCCCCCTTTGTTATTCGCGAAAACTAATAGAAAAGAAACGGTCTTTTTTTCGCCTTGGGCATAGTAAATACGTAGTTGGTTGAGTCATTAAAACAATTACAATCTACTCCAATTTTGCATTACGGAGTATTAAAGAAATATTAAGGCAATTTGACGTTGAATTAATTTTACGTAATCCTTTTTTTGTTACGTATTCTACGACAATATTTCATTGACCGATTATATTGTTAAGACTTTTCTATTGTTTGTGGAATCATAAGAGGTATTACGTAACGTAACGAATACACAATCGTGTATTTTTTTCTAGTGTGAAATATTATTTAACATTTAACAAGTGATAAAATATGATTTACTTGAGTAATAAGTGAAAACAGGTTGATAAACTTCGACGAATAAGAGCTCTAACCTTTTTCTTCCCTACTTATTAGAACTAGATCATACCACTTTTTCTGAAAATTGGAAACTGTCTTCTAAAGCTCTTTTTAGAGCTAAATTAGAATCTCAAATCACTTATTTGCCTTTTCAAAAACGACTGACGCACATATTTATAGTTCATAGAATCACTGTAAATCGTGTATGCGCTACATAAATATTTATCATTTTCTGTTTATCATTATGCAAGCTTGTCTGAACAACCAAAAGATCAATTAATAACCTTATCAGAACTGGTCCAAATATGTGCAACGAAACCCATCTTTAAATATCAATGGGTTGCATAAATATTTCTTTTTCGAGCAAAATTAGATTCTGAAATTACTTAATTGCCTTTTTAGAGACGGCTGGCGCACACATTTTATCTTCGTTGTGCTTCTTGCAACAGGGCCTGCGGACAACCAATTTTACGGGCTGAAATTTCAAGTAAAGTTTTGATTTCTCGCGGGGTTTCGTAAAACCTTTATAGATTAAATTACTCTCGTTATTTACCAGATTTTCGCCGACAATGTAACCGTGCTCCATGTTTCGAGGGAAAGTAAAATTACATGTTTGTGTAGTACCGAATGCTGGCGGCCATTTCGACGGGAACTGTGATTTTTCGAGGAATTTGAAGTTCACTGGAACTCAGGTGTACTATATTCATATCGTAATATCTGTATGGCTAGCTTCATGAAAACATTTATATTTTTCAGAAAGGTTTTAACAGAAATTTTTGGAATTTATTATTATTTTAGTTCGTTTCTGTTTTCTTCCGTTTATACGGATTCAATTTATTTCATGTATTTATATGAGCCATTCATCTGCCAAAGTGATTAACTCCACAAAATGTATACTTGAAATTTATTTCAATAAAATAAAAAGTTAAGTATCATTGTCAAATGTTTTGGCACTACAATTTGAAAGGTTCAAAAAATAGATTTAGAAACCTGTGAACGGCTCATGTAGTTATCAAAAGTAATACAGTAAGAATTAAAAGTTGTATAGTAGTACAGTAGCATTTCAAGTTCACAGAATCACTATCAATCGTGAATGCAGTACACAGATATTTATCAATTTCTGTTCATTATTACGCGAGCTAGTCTGAACATGGAAAGATTAATTTATTACCTTATCAGGAATGGTCCAACTACATCGATCAAATACAACGAAACCTATCTTTAAATATCAATGTGTTGCATAAATATTTATCAGTTTTTCTTTCTGGATGTATGCCAGTTATCAGATACCAAAAGAGTTTTTAATTACCTTATCACCATCGATTGCATGATGAACAATTTAATTCTTAAATACAGTGTTCAATATGGAACCACGAAAATTCATTTGGCAACATATAACACAGGTCAAATTTTGTTTAAATAAAGAGATAGATATACATATGCATAATACTCAAGGTCCGTCATACTATTTCCTCCTTGTTTTACGACCGTAAGTTTTGGCACGGTGAGAATTTTCTGTTCTCAACTGAT